CGCCGCCGGCTAGTTGTCTTTGCTGGCTCTGAAGTTGACCCCATCCCCATGTAATTAGTATGATAACCCGACAATAATGCACTTAACCTTCCAGTGATGACAAGACGTCAAATGCCTGCTCAGTGAGCCCCTACTTTCAGCTACTTAGCGCATAATGGTGGCATCGTTCAAACTCAAAACATCACGCAGACCTTAAAAGAAAGAGGCGGGGCATTGGTCTTTGAAACTGAGGCGGTAAAGAAAACCCGGGGCATCTGGTATTTAGCCCACCCTCCTAGAGTTTCCCGCTCCTATAGACGTCGCTCGTAACCGAAGCTCTATGTTACCAACCGAGCCCCCTAATTGGTTTAAGTGTCCCAGCCAGGGGTAGCGTTTCGCGGGGTCTTTTCTACGGGGCGTCAGGAATTTCCTTTGGCTTAGCGTCGCGAGAGTCGATCTGTCCGCCTTCTGCGACTGTTCATGCAGAACGTACGTAAACAGTGCAGCTGCGCCACGGCGGCCCGAGTCTGAGACCTAACGGTGCCGTCCCAAACGACAGGTGGAAACCTCTTTTTTTATTTGTGGCCAACGTGGAGCTTTTGTCTCTTCTCCGTGTTCAGGCATTGCTGAGAAGAAGAGGCTGCAGGCATCCAGGGGAAGCTGCCAAAGAAAGGTATGCCATTCTCTTTGCCACAGTATCCAGGTGTTACTTAAATACTAGTTCACCTGACCTTACAATAGATGGATAAGGTAGCCATTTTGGAATTGTTTTCAGGAGTTCTCAGGCCAAGTCTCTGAGTGAGTGGTAAAGCAGGACCAGTGTTGTTGGTGTTCAGTGTGAAGTGTTGTTTTTACCTCGGCAGTGATTGAAATGAAAGGATGCCTGGCAATGGCCACCTGTTTGTGTAGTTGGGGGTGAGAGGACGCCATTTCTTTGAACTTGATAGTCGTCCCAACCATTGCAAACTTTAGTACAATGTATTTCTATAATTACTTTTCCTTACGCTATATTCCAACTGTAGCATAGTATCTATATTTGCTTTGTGTACAGAGCTCAGAGCTACTGTTGAAACCTGCGTTGGTCTTTGCACGCATTGTTTTGACATGGTGCTTGGCTGTTGTCACTGGAGTAACAGAACGTCGGCACTGGCATAAGACGGAGCTCACACATTCAGGCGGGAATGTCAAACCTTTGGCGCACGGTTGGAAAAACAACCACCTGTTTTCACGGAGGGAGTGACACTCCTGAACCCGGCATGCCAGGCCTTTGTCAGACAAGTGAAAGCAGCTTTAGGATTAGTCCTGGGTTTGTTGCTGTAAGCCAGAGTCGGTGTTGATTTTTTGCCCCATCCGTGTCACTGCAACACTACAGTATGTGTCACACACCTCATTTGTTCCAGAGAAGGAGTGACGTGAGAGGTCCTACAGGCAGGGCGTGAAATTCATTTTTAGGAAAAGTTGTTTCAGTGCACCTAGCCTGAAAATTTACATGCACAGGAAAAATTGTTGGTTGCACAACATAAGATAATGAATAAAAAGTAGAATTAATTGAGTCTAATTACACATCTCACTGCTTTCTCTTTTTGAATATGAAAATAATTGCTGACTTCAAAAGCTTGACATATTTATCACTATCTGGTTTTTATCATATTTAATAACTCTTAAATGTCAAGAACTGCTGTATGCTAGTGTACAAAATATAGTACCTTACAAAATTTTGGTCCTTAACCCCATTGAAATGTCTAAATACACACATTCATTATGTACCCTAGTATTTTGAGCCCTGACAAGTCTGAGTGATTGTGCTATCTTTGGGGATTGACACACACACACAGGTGTTTTTGTCAGATTCAATACCACCTTCTTAATGCAGAGTGATCGATCATCAATGGGGTATTGTATTTTTAAAGCCTCCTGGGGACTCAAATCCGATATAGATACAGAGTTTGCAATTAATAATGTATTGGGATGGTCAGTTCTTGGAATTCCTTCACATCAAAATGAGACCTTGATTGAAGAGCAGTCACTGTTCTTGGCTGTGCAGGTGTGGTATTGCTGACATCTGTTCATTGTTGTTGTGTATGCCAGGTGATATTGTGCTCAGGTGCCTCTATTATGTTCCTCTTTGTATTCTTCTTTAACTACAGGACAATCATAGTGTCCTACAGGGTCAAGTCTTGAAGTCTAAACAAAAGGCTGGTTTGATATATGTTGGCAGCCTGTATGTGAAATAACCGGGTTCTTTTTGAGATACATACTGTTTCCTGCATGGTTTAGATTTTCTGTCAAAGTTGCAACTGTTTTATGTTCCCATGATTTTCAGCTTTTCGTTTTTCTCAGGAAATTGCCTTTTCATTTTGGTGGGAGATATACATGTAACTGCTGTCAACAAACCACCTTTCGCACCTGAGGAAGCATGATTGTTTAGACCTCGGGATAACTCAATTTTGGGTAACTGAATTTCCAGCATACCAGCAAACAATAGGTGGTACAACAGGCGAGATTGGTCAAATTAAGGTCAGTGTTGTTAGTTCCCATGTCAACACATGTCAGAACCTTACTGTGTTTCACACGGAGTGTATAATGCCATTTTTCAATCAGAAGTACGTTGAGATTTGATTGACCAGCCATGTCGTATTGTGTAGGAATGCATTTCACTGCGTACCAAACAGTGCGGTTGCAACTTGAAGCTGGATAGTTTGTTGTATTTTTTGTAAGGTTGATTAATGTGGAAAGCTTTTCAACTCACAGTCTATTACCAGTAGTGAGTTTAGTATTTAATGATGTACCAAGGGAAAGGTACATCCTCAAATTTCTTTCAAAGGTGATCTACTGTATTCTGTAAACTGAACTGCCTGGAAGAAACCATTACCAGTTGTACTATCATTGTCAACATCATGTCTAAACTGGAAACTTTTCTAACTTGATCCCTTAGTCTGTAGTAATCCCATGTTACGGTGAGTCTAGACAGGCTAATCCAAGGTGCAACCAACAAAGGCTCAAACAAACAAACAAACAAACAAACAAACAAACAAGCAAACAAATAAACAAAACTAGGCACTGCTCTGATCTTTGACAGGCCTCAAAAGTCATACTGTTATGTTACCATATCGTCATGGAGAAAATCAGTGTCCAAAGAATGTACAATGTTTTATGACATTACTCTTTACACACACATTACACGTTATATTTTGTACTCATACAACCCATCCTACATGTACACATGTATACGCATTGCTGAAAGGTGTCCTCCCTTTGTAAGGGCCCATCTGTTCTGACCCACTGCAAACGTATCATAACCAGTGGATCGGCTTTCAGTATGTTTACCCTCAGAGCATCACTGATGCACCTGGTGGATAGTGTAGCCAACCTGTTTGCACAGGGTTCGAGGGGCAGTTGCTGCCAGGTATTTGCATGTGACGGTCAGTCGTGTTGTAGTGTCTGGTACTGTATATCGAGAAACTTTTGTGGTTATCATGAAAGTTCATCTGTGTTGGTAGTAATTATTATAGTACATTGTAAAACGTTGAACTTAATTCCAACACACTCTCTGTAAATTGTGTGTTGGAATAAAGTTCAATGTTTTACTATAAAAATGGTGGTAGGAACGTAGGAGGGAAAAGAAAGTTTTCATGGTGTTTTAGATTTGCAGTTGAGACAATTCTGTAGTACAGTAATCACACAAGGAAGACATATTTTGTGGTGTCATGAATTTGTACATTGTAGTGGAGAGGTCACCATGAAAATAATGTACGACCATGGAGAAAGTTTCACGATTTTACAGTAGAAAATGTTTGGGGTTATGCCTTTAAGAGCATCATTGACAACTTGTCATCTGCTTGGTTTGGGCTGAGTGGAGGGTCAATTTGCACAACAGATTATCCTGTCTGCTGAACAGAAGTGTCTACTGTAATGTGGTCATCACCTTACAACTTAGAGGGGATGGTATCCACAAGTGGAAGATGCTTACTGTTGGCTTTTAAGAATAAGAAAGTCAACCAATCACACATTTATTACTAGGAACCGTTGTTTCTTTCACAATGGAAACAGAGGAAAACTTAACAGGGATAATACTGGACCTGTTAAGAATCATTTCAGTCATTGGGACTCATAATGTTACACAGGCAAATGGATGCATTGTTAAGTACCTTTTCTGTATAAAACACTTTGCCATCTCATTTAAAAATATGTTATTCTAAAACTACAATGTTATGAAAAAAACTTGACTAGTAATGTCATCATCATCTCATCTTAAGTACTGCTGAGCCCAATATTGACATTGGATTATTAGCAGCTGCACATGTTGTTATTTACAAAACAAGTGACTGGTACAATAGAAACAAGGGCAACTAAAGGAGGGGACACTACGGAACATAAATAACTGAGTCTGTTGGTGTAAAGGACAAGACAGTGCATTTAGTGTGTTAGTAGGACATATATATATACATATATACAAGACGTGTAGGGGCGACTCAATGCAGCAGGGTCCTCGCCAGTCCAGATTTGAACTGGGCGAGGGACCCCGCCTCCGCCACACCAGGCTCAAGTTCGTTCCACTCTTTGATGGTACGAGGGAAGAACGAGAGCCTGTAAAAGTTGTTCCTACTCGCGATGGTCTGCAGCTTGAGAGCGTGGTTGGTGCGGCGGGAGCATCGAGTCGCCGGGACAACTCTAGATGCGTGCGGCACAGAAATAACATTGTTGGTTATTTTGTATAATGTGGCAAGTCTGGCGTTCTTCCTTCGGTGTGCTAAGGACTGCCAGCCCAGCTTATTAATCATGTCGGTGACAGAACTTGTACGGTAATAGTTGTTGGTAACGTACCGGGCAGCTCGTCTCTGCACCATCTCTATCCGACCCACCTGATCCTGGGTGTGTGGATCCCAAACACTGCAAGCATATTCCACCTGTGGTCTTACCAGGGCCATGTAGGCCCTTTCCTTGGCCGCAGTGCTGGCGATCCTCAGGCAGCGTCTCAGCATGCCAAGTGTTTTGTTGGCCTTAGATGATACGGCATCAACATGGCTGCCCCAGGTCAGATTATCATCGACACACGTATGATAATGTTGAAGAGACTTAAGTTTGTAGATATAGGTGAAACACTTTGTAGATAAAGATGAAATACAGCATAATTTTCCTCCTCTACTTTAGTCATCTACATTTTTGTAACTTATTCATATAACATTGATACATTTAGCCCTTATTGTGTATGAATAAAGTTCACTGCCATTGTCAATGCTATCAGTACCTGTCACTAAAACAACTGTCCCTCTTTTTGGTTCCAGTTTGGACCATGGCAGGGACAACTCCTGGCCAGCTGGCAGGGCACCAGCCATGGAACCTGCAGTCACCCACCGCGCCATGGGGGACCACCACTCTCAGCATTGACAACGCTTTCATGCCAACAGGAACTACAATTGGTAAATACAGTATAATATACAGTCTTATTAATCTTATAATTAATAGGCAGGTTTGTAAATTAGTGTCATGTTTTAGCAAAGAAGATCGTTATTGTCACACAGATTCTTTATTGACTGAACAAAAAGAACAGGGACTTTTGTATGGTATTCTGCAACAAAGCTAATTACATGTTTGAATAATGTCATCCTACGTACGGAATATAACGTTATGTATGTGGCAAACTACATAATTATACATGTACGGGTGTGACAAGAACAATCTTGAGTGAGCCAATATGCCAATGTACTGGCCTTAATTTTACATGTACATGATTAGTTTAATAGATTCTCTGAGGGTCAAAGAGGCCACAAATATACAATGTATCTCCACTGCACATTACATTTATGTGCCCCTTATTAATTAGATGACATAATATGAAGCATTTATCTTTCAGGACTCATTGTATTCGACACACGTATGAATTTTTCATGAAAGGAAACTTTGTTGTAATTGATTTGTAAATTGAAGAGAAATATCACTGTTGATAATAAACATTTCGTAGTTCGGTTGTAAATTTAATTGACAGGTTTTAATAAAATCAATATCTATCACAATGCTTCTTAGGATTCTTTTTGTCATGTATATTCATTCATAATACATCAAACAAAACAAGACAAGTGGTGACCGATCAAGTTATGCAATTCATACCACCAGTTGTCAGCATGAAAAAAACAGTACAACAATAATACAAAATGATCAAACATTTGAATTATTACAGATACAAAATTAATGTGCTTGAGATTGAAATTCTTATGATTTCAATGACAAATCAGCTGTCCAGCAAATTCTATGCATCCAACCTACTGATTCACAATTCATTCGAAACATCAGAGTAATAAATTTTTTCAGTTTCGTCTTGAATGGCAGGTTCTGGAAAAATTCCTTATGGTTCAAAATGACAAGGAGAAAAATCTTTCTTTTTTTCCAGGACAATTCTATGCATTGAACCCTCTGAACATGGTGATTTCGCTACAATTCATTTGAAATAGTCTTGAAACGTCAAATAATTTGGTTTTGAATGACGGATTCTGGTTCCTTATGTTTGAAATGACAAGTTGATTATCTTCTTCTCTACAGCACAATTCTATGCATCAAACCCGCTGAACAAAGCCCTGACGAGAGCAGCCGTGAGGACTGTTATTGAGAGGCAAGTGTCCAGCGGGAGGAACCCTGAGGTAGCCAGCATCAGTGTCGGGGGGAAGGTGCTGGTGGAGGTGCTGTTCAAGACCGAGGAAGGCTGGAAGTACTTCAAGAGGATCCAGGACAGCGGCCGTCTGAGGCTGGGGCTGGAGGACGAACTGAGGAAAGTGAGTGTCGCTGTCAATTAATGGCGTTTGAAAGTTACTGGATTGAGGTCCACCTACACTGAATGTTTCACACTGAAAGCTTATTTGTAATTTTGTGCCCAAAGGCAACTTGAAAGTACATAGGAAGCATACATGTGATAGAGACATAGCACAATACTCTTAGGTATCAAACATACAAATGATAAGGACAGTTGTATCAGTAGATTAATTCAAATACTGGTGATTATCATAAACAAAATCAATTCAAGCACTTGTTCTGGCTACATGTATATTCTAAGACAAGTTATGTTTTGGCGTCTTGGAAGCGTCATTTAAACAGAAAGGGATGTTCCCACTAATGTCATGAAAGTTCATCTGTGTTGGAAGTTACATGTTTAAAGTTAAAACTTAATGTTCCAACACAAGGGATTGTTCTCACCTAGAGCTTTAATATGACCAGTCACTCTGGTCTTCTTCAAAAGAGATACAGACAATGTCATATTCTACTTCATTGCAGATAAACTTCCCAGGGACCAAGCCCTTCCCAGGCTCCCCACAGGCTGCCTCTGCCTCCAAGTACAAGCGGTACCCGGGCATCTCCATACACTTTGAGCCACTTCAGCATACAGGTCAGTCTTATAGAGAGCTTTTAGTGACACAATAAAAGTACAGTGACTTTCGTAAGGTCTTCTACAAGTTACACCTACAAATAAAAAAAACATGTGGATACAGATGAACTTCCATACAAACAACAGGATACAAATGACATCAATGAACTTGCATACAGGTAAATGAATAAATTAACATGTTGATTCTATGGATAAGTCAAGATGTCATGTACCCATTACTTCTTCAGAAAAGAAAAAATTAAGTTACTAAAATCATGCTTTTTTTTCTTTGTATTATGTCGGAAGTCAGAGTTTTAGGTTTTTTATTTTTGTTTGTTTGTTTCAGCAGCAGCAGCCTCACCCTTGCCGCAGCTTTCAAAAAGAAAAAAAAATTATGTTGCTGAGATCATTTTTTTGTGTGTTCCATAATGTCAGATTACAGAGTTTTATGTTGTTTATGCCTGTTTGTTTGCTTGTTTCAGCAGCAGCAACAGCATCCTTGCAAAAGATAAAGAAAGTAACTAAAATCATGCTTTTTTCTTTGTACCGTTATTTCAAAGTTGGTTATGTTTGTTTGTTTGTTTCAGCAGCTACAGCAGCCTCCCCCTTGCCCCAGCTGGCCCTGACCCCTCCCACCCCAGCGGTGGCCCCGGCCCAGCCAGCCTTCCCCGGCGTCCCATTCTCCACCTACGGCAGCATGCCATCCCTACAGTACGGCAGTTCTCCTCCCCGGGCCAGCTCCCTTCCGCAGCCCTCCGTAGACAGCCGACGCTCATCTGTGGACACCCTCCCCTTCACAATTTCCTCCGCGAAGAGTTCTCCTCCCGAAGACTTGACCCAGCGAACGTCGCTGTCGTCCCACGACTCTCTGCGATCATCCAGCCTCTCTCCTTTCATCACGGCCGGCTCTCCGCCTGGCTCTCTTCACTCCGGTGTTACCTCCGTTGCCTCCTCCATCCAGAGGTCTTAATTGTTTATTTATTTATTTATTTATTGTTTAGCACTTAAAAATAAAATAAAATGTAACACCTGTGTCCATAATATCACCAGGGTCCATAATATCGCCACCTTGAGAAATAGTGTGCTTAAAGATATTTTTACTGCAACATACTTTTGGTATGCACTCCTTCACACATCAAATGTACATACCTAGGGTATGTTACAGTAAAAATATCTTTAAGCACACTGTTTCTCAAGGTGGCGATATTATGGACCCTGGTGATATTATGGACACAGATGTTACATCACTATTATTCCTGGAGTCCTTTACATAGAATACAGCATTATATCATTAACCATTATTTACGTACACTTTTAACTACTTTCAAGAAAACTTGTCTTATCAACATTTTCCATCTGATAATGATAATACAATAAACGTCATTGAGTTATAGCAATAATTAACCACATTGAACAATATTACTTACAAAAAGTAAGGCAGAATTTTCAGTTTCTCGGTTATAATACACATTAAGCATTAATTAATACAATTAATAATATTACATTATGCAATTAATAAAATTTTAACAAAAAAAACAATTATGTACTAGGTCCACCCTCGGGTCCTCACCGACAAAGAGCTCCGAGTTCGGCTCTTCTCTTCACTCGACGTCCCCCTTCGTGGGGTCTCTCCCACACGGGAGCAGCCAGTTTGGTGGAACGGCCAGCTCGGGGCTGTTGTCCATCAGCAGATCGCCCCCCTCGGACCACGGATCTCTGCCGTTCTCTGCTTCTCCACTCATGGGCTCCTCCAGGAGAGCGTCTGTAGAAAGTTGTAAGTCTTATTTTTATTTACTTAATAGTTTACCACAAAACAAGGCTCATGGGAGCCACTTAAATGTCTTGGATTACTGTACAGCCAGAGAGGACAGATGTTTGTTGACCTTAGACTCAAAAAGTTTAAGGTTGAACCCATGTGGGAAACAATCACATGGTAGCTTGTTCTATTTTTAAGGTTTCCATGTTTGAAAACTTCGATTATGTGTGTTTTTTTCTTAATGAAGATCTCTGTTGTACCTGTCCTTGGTGCTGAAAACCTTTCGAATACAGTTGGTTTGTTGTAGAAAGTTGTAAGTCATGTTTTTAAGGTTTCCATGTTTGCAAACTTCGAATATGTGGGTTTTTTTCTCATGATGATTTCTGTTGTACCTGTCCTTGGTGCTGAAAACCTTTTGAATACAGTTGGCTTGTTGTAGAAAGTTATAAGTCATGTTTTTAAGGCTCCAGTGTTTTGAAACTTATAAGATGTGTTTCTTCTTATGACCATTTCTGTTGTCCCTGTCCTTGGTGCTGAATACCTTTTGAATACAGTTAGTTTGTGGATACTTGTATTCCTATGACATTTGATAAGACATACATTGTACATACGTACCATGCATTACAATTCTATAATCACACAGTATGATATGTGTCATAAAGCAAATGTTCATCTATCTGTAAGACTGTGTCACATTCAAGGTAAACATGACACCACAAGTTTGGAAATAATGTCACACTCATGTACTACATAGAGCTAAAAGACTAGGAGATCTCATACACCATACTTTCAGAACAAACAGATGATACATTTCCTACAACATGTGTATACTAGTTTTAGCAAAACAACCCCAAATTTTACCATCGCTAATTTCATCTTGTATTGTTTCTGATTTTAGTGAGTCTGCTGCAGCAATCAACAGGACTACCAATGTCTTCATTGCAGGTAAGTGCCTTTTTGGCAATGCCACATGGGTGGATTCCTTTTCTCTAGTTTTCTTTTTCACAGTCAATGTCACATTTTGTGAATTATCTCTCTCATATCACACATCCTGTAGATATTGTAGATACGGAAAAAAGTTTTTAGTTCATAAGAATGGTGCATGTTTTCTGAAACAGGCTTGAACTGTAATTTCTACCAGAAAAAATTAGACCTACCCAAATTTTCCTCATTCCTTCACAAAAACTGCTGTTTAACAGTCAAAACTTTGGGTACTAAGGCCACACCAATTTAATTTGTTGGTTCTCGGATTCGCCTCTTCGTTTTTTTCTGATTTGCAAAAAAAAAAAATTTGATTCTGGTCCTGAATCAACTGAAAAATGCTCATGTTTTGCCCCCAACAGTTGAGGAATGTCCATTTCTTCCTAGTTGTTACAGTTTTCCCATCTATCATTGCAGTGGTTTGATTAAAAGTTCAAAATTCAATGTTTAAATTTTAACCCAGCCTTTTGTGTTGACTTCATGGCTCATTTTGTAGCATTTAAGCCTATAATAGGATGCCTAGACCTGTTTTTATTTTTATTTTTTTTCGCCCTGTCGCTTCATATTTTTTCTGAAAAAATCCGAGAACCAACAAATTAAATTGGTGTGGCCTAAGTGGAATTTTTGTGTTGGAAATTATAGTATCTGTTCAAACCTGTTTCAGAATGACTTCTACCAGAAAACAGATGAAGTTTCTAGCTTAGCATGGATTGATGCATGTTTGTGTGACTAATGTTATGCCCTATACACTGTTTTTTCTCACTACTCAGAGCACGCTGCACACCCTACCGTGGCAGAAGGTCTGTCTAGATCTCAAACACACAGTCTTTTTGCATGACTCCAGGGCAAATGCCAGACTTTTGTTCATTTTTGAGGTTTAGTTTTCTTACACGAAGGCCAAACCTTGAAAATGAACAATAATCTGTGGTAGTTTGCCCTTGGTAATTTTGGAAGTATTATTTTGGACGATGATTATTGTAATGCATGCAGCTGAGAACCTCTGATTTCCTTTTATACAGTACTTTCTCAATAATCTTGTTTCATCTTACATTTAGGGAGGATCATTGTCTTTATTATGTTATTTCTAGTATGATATTCATGTGGGCCACACTTTTATGATACCATTTGGTGCAAGTGACGTTATGGCAAGTCACTATTGTCACAGATAAACTTTTCTTCAAACATTTTTATGGATACCATCCTATTGTTTTTTATTGCTATACTACAATGTGTACATATTATTGCTATACTACAATGTGTATATGCATAAATTTTATGTATTAATGTATAATTTTTCACCTTTCCAGCCTGAAGAAGAGGTTGCAGGCTACATCCTGATCAGGGCCCTGGGGAGCGGCAGTTTCGGGGAGGTGTGGCTCGGCAGGAACAGGAAGGACTGGAAACAGGTGGGGCCCAGAGTACCTGTAGATCTACTGTAGATTCATTTCCTTTTGTAGTGGGTTTATTTTCACAGCATGTGGAAAAAGGAAGTTTTTGTGGTGTGAAGTTTACATTTGAAACAATTCTGTAGAACAACAAAAAATCAAAACACATACTTGCAGTGTCAGGACAAGTATTAAAGGTACATGTATACAGCACTAAAGATTGTCTGATGATTTCTGTTGTATCTGTCCTTGGTGCTGAAAACCCTTTGAATGCTGACTTGGTACTAGTGTTCCTGTGTATGACATTTACAATATACCATATACTAAAAGTCTATAATCACAAAGCATGTCATGACTGAAAACTGACTGACCAATGATCTCTGTTGTACCTGTCCTTGGTGCTGAAAACCGCTTGTCTTAATACAGTGAGTACAGTTAGCTGTTATGACATGTGTTACGATTGCCCCAGTATGCTATGAAGCATGTCTTTCGATGCAGTGAGTTGTTGTTCCTATAACATTTTATTAAGAACATTATACATGTGTTACCATTCTATGCTTCCACAGTATGCGATGAAGCGTGTCTCGATGCTGGAACGTTCTGAAGACGAGAGAGAAGCAGCCCTGCAGGAGTCTGAGGTGCTGCGAGACCTGAAACATCCCAACCTGGTGGGGTACAAGGAAGCCTTCGAACAGGTCTGTAGTTGCACTGAATCCTTACTTGCATTTAGAAGTAAACATAAAATGGAATAGCTTTTTTTTATATTGTCAAGTACATGTAAGGGAGGATATATCCAGAAGGTGGATGCTTTATAGGACTTACAATATCCTGCATTATTCAGTGAAAAGATAATACTAGTACTACATTTTGTCTTATAATGACTAGACAGGTCCTTTTTGTACGGAAATACTAGTATACAGAACAACAAATGGTGTTCTTCCACCCCACCTTCCTCCCCCCCACCGCATGGTCGCCTGTAACAATAGATGATACACTTGTACCTGTCCTTGGTGCTGAAAATACATGTACTAAGAATAGACACATCTAGTGCACAAAGAGTATTAACTTAACCTATTAATTAAACTGATTATTCTGTGATCAGTCTGTGATTATGTTAATTGATTGGTAATAGAGTATGGCCCAAGAGTATGTTAATTAAAGTATCTCCTGAATGCTGACAACATTGATTGCCCCCCTCCCTCCCAGTTTGGTACATAGTAATAAACTACTGTGACGGAGGCGACTGTATGATTTTATTCTTCTTTTTACTGCTATGTTAATAGCCCCCATTACTGCTATGTTAATTGAAGTAACTCACAGTGAATTCCCCCCACACACACACACACACAGTTTGGTTACCTGTACATCGTGATGAACTACTGTGACGGAGGTGACCTGTTCACCAGGCTGAAGGGGCAGAGCGGCCGGCCTCTGGAGGAACCTGTGCTGGTCGAGTGGTTTGTGCAGATTGCCATGGCGATACAGGTACCATTTTTTAAAACTCATGACCTAACATTGATTTCAGTTTTCTTTTTTACTAATTTTACATGTAGATCACACTCAGATCACACCTGCACCGTTGAATGCACAAGAAATAGTGCAATTATACAGGTATATTACAAATAACATAGAGTATATTGTTTCAAAAACTATCACTAAAAACCATCCTACTATTATGTAAGGCCATTGTACCTGTCCTTGGTGCTGAAATCACATGTATTAGACATGAGGCTACAAATCCCTTTATTACCAGGTCTTTGATGTCACAATGTATTATTATTATATTCAATGAGCTTTTCAAAAGACTGTGAGTATAATAGAGAAAGGCACAGTACTTGTTTTTTGTTTACATATTACATTTGTACACTACACATCCTGATTCTCTGACTTCTTGGCCCTTCCCTTTTGATGGTTTCTTCAATTTCAGTTGATCAGTATAGAATAGTTCTGCAACAGTTGTCTTTTTTAATTTCAGTACCTTCACAACCACAACATCATCCACCGTAACCTGACCACCCGGAACATCTTCCTGACCTTGAGGTACCGTCTGCTGAAGGTCGGAGACATCGGGCTGCCCGCGGTGGTGGATGGAACGCGCTCCATGGCGGAGAAGCAGAAGGCCAAGGGCATGGCCTGCTACATGAGCCCCGAGTCACTCGCAGGGCGGCAACACACCAAGGAGGTAGCTACACACTTTTGTGTCATTTTTTATTTTATATATATTGTTTATTGTTTATTTAGTACATTAAAACACATGGCAGCTTCATTTGCTAATATGCAAAGAGGCTGAATTATGCATTTTATAAGCATGTTAAATAAGTCAAGCATGATCTATATAACATGATCTACAAGGGGTGTTCAATAAGTTCTCGGCCTCACCTAGAAAATAAAGGTCAAAGTCATTGTTATTATCTTTCCAAAAGATTGTTGAATGACTATATATTTGAGTTGCAATTGTTTAGTTGTTTTGAGTTGTTTGTATGACTCTACTTTATGTTATATTGCCTCCTAAGTTTGAATTCTGTTTTACATATCATGGGTTCCCTTGGAAATCTGTCCTATTTGGCTGAAGGGGCTACCCATATGTTCCCAAGATATCCTTTTATGTGTGCAACAGCACTTTTTTTCTACAGGATTTCAGTAGGGAAGGAAGCCAAATCAGTACATCTTACAGTTTTAACAATGTAATTTGCAGACCTAATTTTATTTTTTATTAGGCTGATGTGTGGGCTCTGGGCTGCTGCCTGTATGAGATGGCCTCCCTAAAGCACGCCTTCCCATTCTACGACAGGGACATCAACAACCTGGCCCTCAAAATCGTCAAAGGAAAGGTAGGTACCATTACAGTAATGCAGCACTCACTGTACTGTATTCAGTTGGACATTCAGTATGACATTCTGCTAGAATCATAACAATGCTTTAGTGTGATGTACAGATTGGTACTAAATTTATTATTTGACACTAACAAGAACAATTTACATCTACACAATGTATATCCATGTGCAGGAAGATTTTTAAATGTCTTTCTTTATGTGCTTTGGAGAGCAATCTTTGAATCTCCAAGAAGTCAACTGCTTTTTAAAAGAGTGATTAACTCTCAGACTGTTATTGTCTCATCATTGATTATTGATCATCGATATAATTTTACACTCTGTTGAAGAAAGAGGCACAACCAAGTGTTTTATTCAGCCGACGTTTTGGTGACCATCTGTCACCTTCCCCAATTCTGACTGTTTCACATTGTACAGCACAGGTGTCTCTCATATATAGCTGAAACACACGTGAACCAGTCAGAATTGCCAGACACTGAGACAGTCAAGGAAGATGACAGACAGTCACCAAAACATCGGCTAATAAACAACTTTTTGATTGTGTAAAAAGAGTCTCTTTATTAATCTTGATTCAATCTGATGAAACTATTCACGGTTACATTCTGTTGTATCAGATGGGTCCACTATACAACAGTTACAGCCGCGACCTTGTGGATCTGACCAAGGACATGCTGCAGATAGAACCTGACCAGCGCCCGACGGTGCGGACCATCCTCCGCACCAAGTTCATCAAGAAACACGTGGCAAAGTTCCTGGAGGAATCCATCAGAGAGTAAGTCACTTCAAGTGTCTTTTAGATTTTGGTCCCCCTGGCAGCTTTTCTTGGCACCAGGGCTCTAGCCAGCTCAATTCTTTTTTTCCGTCAGTGCAGGTTCATGATCAGACCTGGGGGGAGAGTGCTTGCAATGTAGTGGAGACAAATCATGGGCTTGAGAGTGGTTGTTGTTAGTCCTTTGAATGTTTTAATTTTTTCCCAAGATTGTTTGTCAATTTTGTCAGTCGAGGTTGACGGATTGGTTTATAATTCTTTCCATCACACACTGCAAAATTCCTGCAATTGACAGAAAAACAGGTGCTGGCTAGAGCCCTGCTTGGCACTGCAGAAGAACTGGTTTTGATATCTCTTGTTCTGGACATGCTATAGCTAGGGTCCTGATTTCAGGGTGGCAGGTAGCATGAATTTTACATGTATTCATGATAATTTTATTTGCATTGGCATTCAAGGATTTGGAAAATTAATAGTACTTTTGTGAGAAGAATATCTGATTGAGAATTCTAAAAGCACTATTGATGCCACATAGACTGTGTGGGAAAGATAAACTGTTTTCCAGCTCAAAAGATTGGATTCACCAGAATTTCTTTTCAACTGACTCACTCAGTCTTCCCCAGCAATCCGCCCCAATGACTTGGGACACATTAACTCAACTTAATGCACAGTTTAACTTTTCCACAATGTAATTTACCAGCTCAGTTAACTGTTTAACTTTCATGCTAAGTCAACAATGCCAACTATGTGTCAGTTACAAACTATGCTTAGTAACACCATGCTTCTCCACTCGTAACCTCTAACCATGATGTGTTGTTGTTTGTCTCCCTCCAAGCTCCTACGGCATGAGGTGCGATGTGTGAGTAACTAACCCGTCCCTGTCTACCGTGTGCCTTCCCAACTTTGCCTTCCTCTATTAGCCTTTTCCATGCTAAGGTAGCCATTTGGCACCAAATCTATATTGGTTACACATGTATGTGATTAAGAAGCAGGGAGAAGGCTGATGGCTTCACCTTCAACTTACACATATCAATCTAGAACTTATTTCTTGCACCTGCATGGAGCACTTTATAAACTTTAATTTTTGATTAGATTAATGGATGAATCATTTTTCATAGAATTCAGACATCAAAGACAACCTGTTTGAAGTTTGGTTTCCTGTTTTTACCTCCGGGGAAGGAGATATCCTTCCACGAGGAGGTTTTACTATGGTTCGAAACATTTCTGTCAGCAGCTGTTTCTCGCGATCGGCTGGACGGATTGGTCTGTGGTTCGGTATACATATTGCTGTTGGGCTGCAGATGATGCAGAACGTTTTTGTTTAATTGTATATGTGTTTATGGGCGTGGAAATAAAAGGTTTTTAAGTGCTCCGGACACCCCCGCCATGCTGAAAATGGAATTTACCATGTTGTTAAGGAATGGGGAGGTTTCAGTTTTGGGTCTTACCATTTAAAAGGGGTCAAACAGAGGGGTGTCTGCTTCCGATATGTATTTTGAAATATTATCGCAGTTGTATCTCGCGTTGGGGTAGACTGGACTCGGTGTATGTTCTGCTAATGGGCTGTAGATGGTGCAGGTTTTTTTTGTTTTTATTGTATATGTGTTTTGGGGCGTAAAAATCTGAAAATGGTCGTGCGCGGCGCTGGGCTGGCTGCCAGCGCAACTTCCGGGTGGGCCAATGGGTCAGGGGTCAACGCCGTCTTGCGCAATCTTGGATGTTTTCGGCGTATATTACGACTTCTTAACTTACAAATACCGTGGTATACTGTCTCAGACGTTCTCGACATGCATTTTTACCGTGGGTACATGGTATGGACTGCAGATGAAAATGTTGACCAGTCCTGTATTAACACAACCAGGAACGCTAAATCTAACACATAAAATTCAACACCATCAACTATACAGAACAAACAACATGGAAAAATATACAATAAAAAGCCCGGAGGTATAAAATCTCAGATTTTACTTGTTGTTACTGTAACATTATTTTGTAACATTATTGACCAAAATAGCAGTGCAACAAACAAAAAAACAAAGAATCTAATTTTTTTTAGAAATTTTGGCTTTGTCTGCATCTGTTTATTCTCTTTTAAAAGAATCTAATTGCAAACTCTTTCTCAAAGCAATGTATGTATTGGTGCCACAGACATCTAGAGTGCAAGAAATTAATGTTAGATTATTAGTAAGCTTCAAAGCACTTAACTGTATGTTTTGTACAACTAATGCATGATGATTTTTTTCACCCATCACAATTTAAAACAATTTTTGCACATGATCATGATCAAAACACTAGACACTGTTTACCTTTGTTTTGTAGCTTTCTTTTTTCTCCTCTTTCTCCATTCCATTAGATTTGATACGATTAGAAAAAACTCATGGTTGAACTTTTTCCCCAGCCGATTCCCCACCTCCCCAGCCTGGGACGAGTACAACCAGTACCGCTTCCCCTCCCCTCCCTCCTCCCCCACCCCTCCCGATAATGAACAGTCCCAGGATGAGGAGGGCGCCGCCAAGAAGAGGGTGGTCACCGGACCTCTGATGGACATCGAGGTCAAAGCAAAGGAGACAGCTAAGGTAATATTCCAATGACTTATGACTACATTATGACTGGTGCAATGGCCAAGTGAGCAGAGGTTGTGAGTTCAATCCCTGGGCAAGTCGTACCAAAGATGACAGGACATAAAATAGAAAAAAAATTGTCACATTAAGTGTATGTACAGAATAAATACCCTGTACATACAAGTATATATTATCCGTCGTAGATGTAGTGTTTCATAACTGTAATTGTACCTAGAATTGTACCGTGACCTGTACTTGGCATGTGAAAGCATTAAAGTGAGATTATTAAGTCTTTTATTCATTAAATACCAGATTGAGTATCTCCCCTTCCAGCCCAAACCGTTTGGTGCTCCCGTACGCGTCGCGCCACCGACAGAGGCCGTTGACATCCCCAGGAAGCGACCACGGGAAGAACCGCCTGAAGAAGATGATGATGATGACATCGACAACATCAGCCAGACCAGCTCCGAGGTGGAGCTGATGAGACTGACGGAGGAGTTCCTCAAAGAGGCAGAGGTTAGTTACTAATAGATGTTCCAAAAAACTCAATTTACTTAAGCAACTAGATATGATTTTGGAAACGGTCAGATGTTTCAGGTAGCATCCACTACCTTTCATCAGTGACACTAAGAGACTGCAGGTTTATAAGCAAGAACTATTGATTGATATGCAAAGTCGTAGTGGATGCTTCCTGAAACGTCTGACCGTTTCCAAAATCATATCCATTTGCTTGAGCAAACTGTTTCTTGGCGTATCTTATTACCTGAATGTCTAACCTTCACCGACGTTAGTTAGATATTGTCTGCTTTCTTTGAAGATTCCATTGGTTAATGTTAAAGTATACAATTCAACTTATGGCTATGACATGGTTTTAATCACTGATCATGATAAACCATTCATTCATTCAATCGAGGGTGACTTATGTTTATGTTTATGTTTATGTTTATTAGGAACTCCATTAGTAAAACAAAAATTGCCTACTAGCCTTCCTGGAGTCCTATACATTATAATAACTACACCATAATAACTACATCATATCAACTATTTGGAACAGTTTTTTCAGCACCAAGGACAGGGACAACAGAGTCCACAAGTTGCTGAATACCCTTTCTGATTCCTTTAGACATTTTTAAAGTTACTGTGATAGTTTAAATATTTAGACTAGTATTGGAAATGTCTTAAATTCTTACCTTGCCTTCCAGGGCCCAGCTAGTCCAGTGCCCAGTCCAGAACTTCCTCCCCCACCAACTCCAAGGTCTGCCCGTATCATCGCAAGGGAGGCTCCCGATCTTCTCAAGAAGGTAGCATGACACAATTACGTACAATCTTCATTTCCAAAAGTGCAATATACATGTACACAAATCTAACTATTATACCATTATCAGGTACCAGATAGAAAGATTAAAGGGTTTCTACATGTTGGTCAGATGATTTATGCCTTACACTCACTCTATACGATTTATGATTGGCAGTTATCATTTCTAACCACTCGTTATTAACATGCCTCACAGTGGAAGGCTGAGCTTGATTTGGACAATGATTGTTTTGACCCAGTCACGTCTATGGAAGCCGATGTTGTAAGTTTTACGGTCACACTTTACTTTCGCCACCATGCACCGTGAGATATGGAGAAAATGCATGCCCTTCAAACTTTATTCTAAGCACATCCTTACCTATTATCAAATATAATGCACCCACAGAAAGCATGATAGAACCTATGCATGTTGACTTTTTTCACAGTTTACCACAATTTTGCACATGATTGTTCCAAAATGATTTCAGCACGTCAACAGCAGTGCATGCTCAGTTTTATGAGGCACTACTATATAAAAACTCAAACACTATAATTCTAATTCCTTCCCCTGCATGACTTTGTGTATTAATCACCTTGAATCTTAATTTTCATTGTGTTTTTTGTGCAATACAATATTTTTGTGGCGTGTACATCCAGATTGAAAACACTGAGACCGAGACAAACGCAGACAGTGAAGAGGAGGCAGATACTGAACTTCCGCCAGACAATAAACAGTTTGTTCACCAGAGGAGGGAGTCAACAAAATCAAGCACATCCACGGAGTCTGATGGTCCGATAATTCCAGAGACTCTGACGGGGGAGCCAATTACTAGTGACATTTCACCTATGCATGTTGAAGATAGCCTAGAATCTTTGAAGCAGATTTTCAAAACAGACGTTGAAGATACTAACTCTTCTTTGCAAGTGCATGGGGATGGCACATCTGAAGAAGTGGTCTCACAAAGTCAGAACTTAAACAGAACACAGGAAAATGGCAAAGACAGAGAACTTGATGTTCTTTCAGATGAGGAAAGACATGCTAGTTATGAAGAATTAGCCATAACTGAAGAATCTCAGCAAAACAATGAGATTTCTGAACCTGCTGTTCATCCTCAAGAAGAAAGGCATGCTACCCCTTCACCAAGGATGGGTGATGATGAAGTAGACATATCAGAGGCAGACTCACAGCAAAATAATGGTGAAAACAAAGAGCTTGAGCATCAGCCAGATTCAGAAAGACGTGAAACCACCTCTTCCCCAAAGATGTGTGACGATGATTCAGCCAAAGTGGAACCAGAATCTGACAAAGAATCTGCAGATGCTGAATGTGAGGCTAATGATGTGATGACACCCCAGTCTGAATCTGCAGATGCTGAATGTGAGGCTAATGGTGTGATGACAGCCGACAACTCGGTTGACACAGTACCCCCAACAGATGAAGAAACCACGATACCAGACCACAGCCAGGACCTGCCTGCAGTACTTGTACCACTGCTGATGGTGGACGAGGTGTTTAGACAATACCTTTTGGTAACCATTGACCATTTCACTAACCGGTTCCATCTCTCCCCCCTCTCTAGTATCCCCCCATGCATGACATAGATAAATGCATGACAAACCAATCACCAGTCATCCTGCATGCCTCCAGCTTTGTACGGTGCTTACTAACACAGTAGTCTTCCCATTTCAGCGCATCCATAGAGGCAGTGTCCACATGTCACCATCGTGCCATTTTTCATATGAAGCTCTTGTCATGTTGCAAAATATTCATAGGTCTCTAGATGCAGTGGTATAATTGATAGAGAATACAATTTGGCATTAGGTATGATCAGAAACTGAAAATTTTTTGATACATGGAAGAGTACATTTTGTTCAGATCAAATGTAACAGAAACCTACTTTTTTTTTACGTGTTACCACTTTTGCTGATTAAGACATTTCCTTGTTTCATTTCATTTCATTTCGATTTTATTTGGGCAGTATTATTTATTTTATTTTAGTTATCTTTTCTTTCATTTCTTTTTGTTTTATTTTGTTTTTGGTTGCATTATTTATCTTAACGCTATCTTCCAGGAGAACAATCATGGGAAGAACTTAGTCGATGATCCCCACAAGCAACCCGAAAATGCAAGTAACTGTGGACAGCAGGACAAAGCTAAAGGAATATCCTCAAGAGACACGCAGGACAATCATGTCCCAGCTTCTCCATCAGACTCTGAAGCCCAGGAACACGGGAGTGTTGTGGAACCAGAGGATGTGGAGGTGTCTATTCTTATGAACGGGGCTGGGGGAGAAGAAGAAGAGACAGAAGAAGACAAGATGCAGGCAGACACTGAAACTTCCACCGAGGAATCAGACAGAGACAACACTCACGTATGACCACATAAGTGTTATACTCGGTGCAAAAGCCATAATAGTTAGTGCAATATTAGAGCAAGCTGTATATATATGTTATATTTATATAACATACTAACATGCAGTAGTAGTTATATAATACTTGTCTACCATCTTGTAACAAAACCCTGTCTTTCAGCTGGGATATAAGGGATAAGGTGCATCAATCAAACTTCATACTTTTTAACCTTTTACCCGTCCATCCATCCATCCATCCATCCATCCTTCCATCCATCCATCCATCCATCCATCCATCCATCCATCCATCCATCCATCCATCCATCCATCCATCCATCCATCCATCCATCCATCCATCCTTGTTATATTAATTTTCAAAAATCTTTTCAGATAACCAAACAGATTTTCAAGCATTTTCTAATAACCATATTTCATTTCCCTTTAGCGCCTAGAAACAAATTACTTATATGTTAGATCTTCATGATAACTGACATCTTCTATCTTTCCCCCCCCCCCACCAAAATACATGGAAATTCTCTTCTTAGATTAAAAACTTTCTCGTCCCTGTTTTATTATAGAAGCCCAGAGAGGACACATCATACAGTGGGTATGTCAGGAGAAACCTGGACCATAAGGTCGCAGGTCGAGGACGGAGCCCTCCCAGAGGAAGGGAGATGCAGGAAGAAGTGGGAAGAACCAGCCCTTCCAGGGCCGTGCACAGATCGGCTGTGAGTATACATGTATGACTGAATTACTCAGTCTTCCTCAGCTATCTGACCCAAATGCTGTGGATTGTTTTATCCATTGTATTACTACAGTCAAACCTGCCCATGAAGATCAGTCAGGAGACCAATAAAATCTGGTCTATGTGGACAGGTGGTCACTGGAAACTCGGCTTTGAGTACATGGATAATTAGATTTATTTCTTTGTCAATTTGTTACTTTCCTTTTTAAGAGAATACTTTATTCTAAAAGACATACATTTCCTTCAGATCATCTTTGGAAGTGGCTTCAACTACCCTAAGGGTTGTAAATTGATGTGACATGTTATGATGTCTTTTAGATGGTACATGTACTCTCAGTAATTATGGTAACATTACTCCTAGGTATGGGGACTTTAAGAACTTCCTTGTCAACATTGATTATAATGTTCATCCACATGGAGGTCATTACTAATGTTGATTGCCAATTTAGCATTTGTGTAGTGCTACATTTTTATCATTTGCATAATATTCTGCATGGGTCTTCATGTTGATGCATGCAGACAAAACGGTCGCCCAGCCCAGCCTCCTCTGCACCGCCTGCCCTGCCTCCACCTCCCAAACAGCCTCTGCTGAAGAGCACCAAGGAACGGGAGAAAAGCTCAGAGAGGAAGTGGCAACACGAGGTGGACCACAGCTACGCAGAGCCACCGGCGCGCTACTCGGTCGAGGTGAAGAAACAGGGCAGAGCCTCTCCCGCTTTGTCTTCAAGTAGAGTAAGCGACAGAGTCTTGTCTTACGAGATGCAAGAAAGCTACACGCCACCGCGCACACGACAGGAGCGGGCGTCTCCAAAGCCGGAAAACGTTGAGGTGTCGGATCCAAGGAGAGTCAGCAGAGACAGACACATAGCGTCTGAAGGAAAGAGAGAAAAGCAAGACAGATACAGCCCCCTGAGACGGGTCGAGCAAGAGAGGGAGGAACACCACACAGAGAAACATACTCGCGGGAGACTGTCTGACTCTAAGTCTCCAGTCAGGGCTGTAAAGGTGGGAGAGTACAGCGCCAAGTCGTTCAAAGTGTCCACCAAAGTCCAGATTTATCGCGCCGAAGAAGAAGAGGGTCCGCAGAGGTCTCCATCCCAGGACAGCGGCATGGAGAGTATTGAAGAACAAGTGACAAAGCTAGCCCAGGAGTTTCTGACTAAGCCCGAGCCAAGCGAACCATTGAACAGGTCTCTCCAGTCTCCTCTGACACCTACAGGTGATGACTACGACTGGAGGATGCATGTGGGAGGGACGCTAACACTTGCCGAGAGGAGCGGAGAGTTTTCCGAGGAAGTAGCTCAAATAGAACGCGAGGAGGAACAAGAGAGAGCCACAAGAAGTAGACAAGAGAAGGAGCTTGCAGGTAGAAAGGGAGTAGAAACATCATCTATGAAGGTTAACCTTAGTTCAAAAGCTGTCACACAGTCTTCAACCTCTCCGGAGTTCGATGACTCCAAGCTCAGGTCAAGATTAAGCGACGTCGCGAGGAGTAGGTCTGAAGAAAGACTTGACCAGGTGCCAAAATCTGTCCCCAAAATCTCAGAGCCGAGGCAGGTGCCCTACGCTTCCCCGATGGTGAACCGAAAGATCCGCAAACCCCGGTACGAAATAGAGGAGGGGGACGCGGTCGTCTTGAAAAGCACATTGGAATCGTCCGTGCTGAAGGCTGCTGATGTGATAGAGTGGAGCTACGTGAAGAGAAGGACCTTTAACAGAGAGATGGTTTACCAGATCCAGAGCTCCAGTAAGGTGGCGTACGGCCTGTTTAGGGGAAGGGTGACCATCGAAGGGGCGTCGGCACTGAGGATATTCCCAGCGAAGCCTCAGGATGCGGGAAGGTACTACTGCACTGCACGGGATGTGGATGGGAACGAGAATGAGAGCTACCTGGAGCTTGTTGTTGAAGGTAATTGTAATTCCTGATTTTTTAAGGGTACTGTTATGTTCACTGTTTTCACTGTCACTTCTCTTCTGTACCGTGAACTTATCATTACACAGTTAACAAATAATTCCTGGACTTTGTTTTTCCTGCACCTGTAGCCACCGCGAATATATTAATAGTTCTGTGAACATGTCCATTTTTCTCAGACCATGAACGCTTGCTACCATGAACATAAAAAGTGTTACAAAGTTTATCTTGTTTGATGGACTCTCTTGCATGTTTTATTTTTAAACTGGACATAAAATGGTATGTGGGCCTGCTTGGAAATTGAACACAGAGGAAGAAGTGATGAAAACTCAAAATAACATCGAGCCAAACACAATTAAAAAAATTAATGTTATCCATGAAGGAAGAGTAGACATAATTTTTCAGCCAATGTTGACACATTTCCTTGACAGAAAAAATCTTCTCGGAGATCACAAACAGTTGGGGTCTAGAGTTGGGGTATACAGAATCACAAAACAAGCAATTAAGATTGTTCAGCCTAAGGCTTACTTTTTCAAATATTTCATGAAGACAATATCCAAAGTTAAAGTAAGTATGTACATGTATTTGCATGTATCTGTATTCATTGAGGATTCCATGCTCACAAAGTTGCCTTCCTTTTTCTCAGCTGTGGACAAGCGTCGCTGGTCTGCTCCTGCCAACATGCGACCTGTAGCTGACCTCACACCCACCCCGCCCAACACCCCCAACATCGACGGTTCTCGTAGTCCAAACGTGGAGCCTGCCTATCCAAAACCTGACACACCTACACCTGCTGCTGCTGTGACTGTAAGTACAGATCAGAATTCAGATGCAAAAGTGAAAAAAACCTGCAAGAAAAGATTACTCAAGCAACAGATAGATATATACAGATCAGAAATCATGTGTATTAAAGTGATTAACATATGCGTTTTTGTGGGATTGGTCTACGTGTTTGTGGAATCTTTGTCGTTATTCATCCTCATAAGAGGTGAAGCATGATATGGAATAAGGTTCAATTTTCAACTTTTCTTCTAACAACAGTAGAACTATGGAACTATTACCCTGGGTGCCAAACTCGTTCTTCGGGCGGCAAGAGCCTTTCGCCCGCCGGTCTAAATTACTGCTACGGGGGAGTCTAGCCCGGGGGGAGTTTGGCCGCCTTCCAAACGAGTCTAGTTGGAAGGCCGATATACTCCTCTGCGGGCGAAGTACCCTGGCTGTCGAAAAAAACGGTTAGCGGCCTGTAAACTTGGCTGGCACCCAGGGTATGGAACTATGGAACAATCTTGCAAATGAAATTGTCAAGATTGAAGAAAGACAGAAGTTCAAATGTGAACTTAAGTCTTTCCTCTGAGCAAAAAACTTTGACAGTGTTGGCATGGCAGTCCGGCTGATAATACTGAGTGACAGCTGATTTGTTTTTGATCTTGACATTGAATATTGAAATATTCAATCTCAAGATGGCTGGGTAGCCCCGTTCAGCTGGCAGTAGCTGATTTCCAAGGGGGCCCAGCTTATTACAAGACATGGCATTGTTACATTCAGTCAAGTAAAGGAGGACAACATACATAGATGACGAAAAAAGATTTTTCCATGTCGCCATGGAAACAGGAGATGCCCCGGAGAGCACACAAGCCGTCCATCATCCTGGAGGAGAAGGAGGGGTCCAGCTCGGAGGAGGAACAGGACAAGAGGAGGTATACTGCCAAGAAGTAAACCCATTTTTATCCTTGTTCACAACATGCACTCTTGGTTTGGAGTGAGTGCAGTGGCTGGACACCTTTGCTTTTGTCACGCTATCTCACATCTGTGTCCATAATATCACCATAGTCCATAATATCGCCACCTTGAGAAAAAGTGTGCTTAAAGATATTTTTACTGCAACATGTATGTACATTTGATGTGTGCAGGAGTGCATACCAAAAGTATGTTGCAGTAAACATATCTTAAAGCAGACTATTTCTCAAGGTGGCGATATTATGGACCCTGGTGATATTATGGACACGGATGTTATCCACTGGATGAATATACAGTCAAAACTGCACAGGAAGACCACTCAGGGGGCTGATATAATCTTGTCTACATGTATGTGGATAGGTATATAGACTAGCCTCTACCAGGCACTGCGAATCGCTGGAAAAGTAGTAGAAATTGGCTGAAATAAAGGGATAGTATACCAGAGAAGATCCAGGGCCATAGAAGATGCAATTTGCAGCCCAGGATCTTCTCTGGTATACTATCCCTTTATTTCGGCCAATTTCTACTATTTTTTCTGCAATCTGCAGTGCCTGGTAGAGGCTAATATAGACAGCATTCTTAATGTTTAAAATGTGTCAAAGGGAAAAATTATCTAAGGGACCACCAAAATGTGGTCACAATGGCCAGGTGGTTCTTATGCAGCAGTGGTCACTTGAATGGATTTGACTGTATTTCATGCATACGACACACACTCTTGCATGATCTGCATGTGCAAAACACAACTTTCCAACTTTTCCATGACATGTAATGCATGCCTAAAGGTATCCAATATGATGATACCCCTCCTTACACAACCAAGTCTTTTATTCAGCCAATGGGGGAGGCCAATCTCCATGCTATTTGCATGCTACAGAGTGCAGAAAATTCCAGCGCTCCTCCCCAAAAAAGCTGTTTTATCTGCTTTAAACTGCTATTTCTGGATGAAAAATGTACCTGAATTGAGTAAAGAGACACATTTCACACAACCAAGTCTTTTATTCAGCTGACGTTTTGGTGACCATCTGTCACCTTCCTCAGGGCAATTCTGACAGGTTCACATTCCATTGCAGCACAGAGTGCAATGTGAACCAGTCAGAATTGCCCTGAGGAAGGTGACAGATGGTCACCGACACGTCAGCTGAATAAAAGACTTGGTTGTGTAAAAAGAGTCTCTTTACTTAGTGTCTTACCAACCTGATTCACGGAATGTGCCAAATTGCTGACAATTAGATTTTGATGTTTCAGTTTTGAGTTTGTCACAATTTTTTTGCTAGAATTTGTGAGAAAACAGTTTTCTTACTCTTACAGCATCACTAATGTTCCTGACTTCTCCCATAGCCTGTCCCCTCCCGCCTCGGTGGTCTCCAGTCTCACTGGCTCAGCCACAGACCTCCAGCTCATGATCGCCATGAAGGAGAGGGAGAAGGAGAAAGAGCGAGAGAAGGAGAGAGACAGGGAGAGGAGAAGACAGTCTCCATCCCCCATGGGCAGGAGGAGGGAGTCCCCGTCTTCCCCAGCCAGGAGGGAGAGCCCCAGCCCTGGCAGGAGCAGTCCTCTCAGCAGCAGCAGCAGGGGACAGTCACCTGAAGTAAGCAAAGTGATTGGATCAAGTTTTTCACTCACTAGCAGATCCTAGGGTTGCAAAAAGACAGTATCAAATTGGCCAGGCAGTATCCATTGGCCGGAGAGGGTCCATGCACATGGTGGGGGTAGCGAAAAATATGGCCATATATGAAAAGGTAACTATTCCCCCATCAACCTCTGCTTGGAGAGTATCACTCACTTACTATCGGGTTTAGTATCTTTTCAGTTTCTATTAAGTTTTATTAAAATCCACTGGCACGTAACAATACTTGGATCTCACATGAAATGCCTGCATGTCAGAGTTCACAAGTGACATTACACTCCATCAATTACACAAAAAACTGCTTAAATATATTATACATCCCTAGTCATAATAACATTTCAATTGACTCAAAATATCTAAAAATACAGCAATCTCTTTACACAGGGCACACAGTTTTTAAGCGTTCTACAAATTTAACGAACCAAATAAAATAATTGTATTGATTTCTGCAGTACTAAGTCTTGAAATACTAAGTCTTGGAATGTTCTCACGTCTCTTTTCTTCACAGGTCCGCCATGCATACACCCCCCTGGTGACTCCACCCCCCATCCCCGCCCCCCCTGTAGGGGTCTACCTCACCAAGGCCAGTCCCAGGGAGGACTTCAAGGTCAGGGGAAGGTCGTCAGGGGGCTCTGACAAGATCATCTCTCCCGGCTCTGTGAGTAAGAGATATGTGGCTTCTTGGGTCGCAGAATAGACACACGACAAGGCCTGTTTCAGTTCTGGACTACAGAATAGACACATGACAAGGAATGTTTCAGTTCTGGACTACAGAATAGACACATGACAAGGACTGTTTCAGACTGGACTATATGATAGGCACATGACAAGGACTGTTTCAGAATGGACTACAGAATAGACACATGACATTGACGAGGACTGTTTCAGACCTGGACTACAGAATAAACACATGACATTGACAAGGACTGTTTCAGACCTGGACTACAGAACAGACATATGACAAGGACTGTTTCAGTTCTGGACTACAGAACAGACATATGACAAGGACTGTTTCAGACTGGACTACAGAATAGACACATGACATTGACAAGGACTGTTTCTAACTGGACTACAGAATAGACATATGGCAAGAACTGTTTCAGTTCTGGACTACAGAATAGACATATGACAAGGACTGTTTCAGATCTGCACTGCAGAAAAGACACATGACAAGGACTGTTACAGATTTGGACTACAGAATATACACATGACAAGGACTGTTTCTGACTGGACTGGACAGGATCACCTGACACATGACATAATGACAGACTGAGACCAGAACTGGACTAAACCACACATTGACATGACTAAGGATTTGGACAAGTGACAGGACTTTGAGAAATGTTAAACTGTTTTCCAACTCAAGGACTGTATCATTATAATGACAAATACATGACATGGACTATAAATACCCCAATGAGACAACATTGTATGCCTGTATTTATTTCACTAACCAAGGCATACAAACAGGACAGGACTGTTTAGAATTAGGTTGGACCAGATCCAATTATGGATTGGGTAAAGAACAGATTAAAACTAAAATTGACCAGATAAGATCACACTGAATTACCACTGGAAAGAAAGTGTTAATTTTTAAATTTAGCTCTCTTGCCAACTAACAACAATACACAGTATCTAAATGCACTGCACACTGTATATAGTGGACATTGACAGAGATGGATCCTTATATGACTCTAGTGGAGCATCAAAAGTTAACCATGGGAATAAATAATGTGAATCATTAAAAGATGTGTAGCTACCAGGCAGTAGGCCATTCTACTTATGCATAGGACATCAGAATATGCATTCAGCACCAAGGACAGGGTCAACTGTTTTGCTTGATTTTGTTCGTTCAATTGCTGAATACAGAAAGTACAAGCAAAAGGATATTTTAGTGTTAATCTGTAGTGAACATTAGGGAGATACCATTCTTTCAGCACCAAGGACAGGGTAGACCATTATCATTAGGAGTCTTTGTTCAATTACTGAATAAAAAGTGCATGGAAACAGACCATCCATTTCATTGTTGATTTTCACTAAGCATTAGAGATCAGCACACACCGAACTATTTCTAGATGTTTTTCTTCAGCACCAAGGACAGGGCCAACCATCACTATTGGATCTTTTTTCTGTGCATTCACTGAACAAAAAGGACATTGAAACAGATGGATACACGGAATGATTTTTTAAATATTGATCCTGACAGATTTCAGACCAGTCCTGTGGACATACGTAGCTGTGTTTTTCCAGTTTAGTCACAGATTCCCTTCCTCACTTTCAGCCCACGAAAGCATTCAGCCAGGAAACAGCAGAGCATGCTCCCCCCGTCCCCCCTCTCCCTGTCCCCTCCGACTTGTGGGCGGACAACAAGAGTGAAGAGAAAGCGCCTCTCCAAAACGGCCCCACGCCATCCTACCCTCCTCCACAACCAAAAGTTGCCTCCAAGTCTCTCAGCCTGGAGCTATCAGGCACAAAGAAGATGTCCGACACCCTCAGTAGCACCTCAGGCTTCTCTACGTCCAGTCTAAGGGACACAGTCTTCACAGACAGCATCAGGGCACCCTCTCCTGTCACCAGGAGGAAAAGAGGGATGTCAGGAAAGATAATCCGGGAAGACAGCGAAGTTCTCCTCACCTGTCCCTTTGGGAAGCTGACGTCTGCCCAGGAGGTGGAGTGGTACGTCACGAGGAAGGGGGAGTCAGAACGGACACTGGTGTACCAGGTAATGTTAATGTTTGTTAGTACAAATGTAATTTATACATGTTTTTAACATAAAGTACTGTAGTACATACTGTAGTACAAAAGGTATACAGGTTGACACTAACCTGCTGGACTATGACATGCTTTCCAGCATCACTGAGGCGGCTGCACCGGATCGTCAGTTAGACTCCGGCCTTCACTGGTGTTTCGTCCCTTTACATCTAAGACACCTCGGGGCGGTGGGACAGTAGGGTGGACGTCTCCATCCTACTTCCGGTACAGTCGTCTCTACTTCTGGGATGTCTGTTTCCAGTTCTTATCCTTCCTTCTTAGCCAAATCACAAAACTACTCTTCTCCACTTCTTCAGACACACGGCGGACAAGCTGGGCCTGTGCCTTCCCTCGGATCTGGAGGTCTCTGCATAGCCGCAGTAGTGATGACCCTGCAAACCCACGAACTCCTATTTCTACTGGGTAGAGCTGAGTTTTCCAGCCGTTCAGCCTACACTGCTGGACCAGTTCCTCGTATCTTGTCTTCTTCCTTTCGAAAGCTACCTGAATGTTCTCTTCCCAAGGAACTGTTAGTTCTACTATCAACACTGACTTTTGGTCCTCTGACCACAGGACAAGGTCCGGTCTCAATGTCGTTGCGCAGATACTACTTGGGAACTGCAGCTGCCTGTCGAGATCTACGCTCATTTTCCACACTCCTCTGCATAATGGGCCACCTCCTATTCTGCTCCTACTAGCTGGTTGCCCCTGTAGGGCTGCTGCCCACTCTTACGAACTGGATTGGCTGTAGTGGTGAGTCTGTTCCTGCTGTTTCCTTCCTCACTTCCTCTAGAGTTACTGCAATTTGACGGAGAGCTTTGTTATGTCTCCACGTATAACGGCCTTGTTGTAATGCAACTGAGCAGTTGGACAAGATGTGCTTCAAGTCTGCTTGTTCAAGACCACACAGCTGGCAGGACTCTTCACTCTTGAACCAACGGGTGAGGTTTCTGGGACTGGGAAGAACATCATAGACTGCCCGTAGCAGAAAGCTCAGTCTGGCATTCTGGATGTTCCACACATCGCTCCACTTAAGTCTCCTCTCTACCGCTCCGTCCCAGTTTGTCCACGCACCCTGCTGGCTCTGGCCAATCGCCACCACTCTTCTCTTCTCCTCCTCTATCCTTCTCACTTCCTGTACTACCAGCTGTCTCCTTTCTCTGGAGTTGGCGTTGGACCACCGGTGTGTTCGCTCCCCCCATCCAAGACCAGTTCTTCCCAGCTGAACTGCACCCACTAGGTCTTTATGTTGTAGTCGGCTAACTGCTTGGCTGATGGTCTCTTTAGCACTCCACTTCTTGCCAGTGCTGATGTTCGTGTTTACCGCTTTCACTGCTGGGTCTTGAGACTCCTCCAACTCCAGAACAAGTTGAACTTTGGCCACCTTGTATTCCTCTGCAATGGATGAAAGCGGAAGGCTTAACATGTTGTCGCCAAACAATGCCACTGTTGACAGACATCTTGGTACACCTAACCACCGCCGAAAGTAGGAATTGGCTTTCCTGTCGATCTGATCCACAGTTGACATGGATATGTTGTACATCTTAAGGGGCCATTTTAGTCTTGGAAACAGCACAAACTGTGCGCACCACACTTTGAGTCTTCCAGGAAGATCACATTCATCAATGCATTTAAGACCACTTGTAGCTTGACTAATAATTTCAGGTCCCCTTGTGGTGTCTTTCAAACTACTTGTGTAGAGACGCCCCAGACTCTTCACCGGTTCTTCTTGTAGAGTTGGAATGGTTTGACCATTCACTGAGAAGGTTCTACTGGAGATCTTCCCCTTCCTTAGTGACAAACTTCTGGACTTCGACGGCTTAAACTTCATACCAGCCCACTCAGTTAGCTCCTCAAGTCTCTGGAGCAGCCGAGCCGTACACGGAGCAGTTCGGAGTATACTTGTGACATCGTCCATAAAGGCACGGACTGGTGGTAGTTTCTCTCCTGATGGAGCTCTCAGACCTCCCACTACCTGTTTGGCGCCAATTAGGAAGATTTCGAAGCCCATGGTGAACAGGAGTGGTGAGATAGAACACCCCATGGCAATCCCCTTCTCCAGCTTCTGCCAGCCTGTAGTGAAAGATCTTGTGCTGATACTGAGCTTGAAGTCTGCAAAGTAGTTCTCCACAATCTGCTTCATTTCGACGGGCACCCAGAAGAAATCGAGGGCATAGCTAATGACTTTGTGGGGTATTGAGCCGTAAGCGTTCGCCAAGTCCAGCCACACAACATGTAGATCTTCCTTTCGACTCCTTGCAAGTTGAATCTGCCTCCATATAGTGTTAGCATGCTCAATACAGCCTGGGAAGCCTGGAATGCCCGCTTTCTGTACTTGTGTGTCTATATAGCTGTTGGAGAGCAGAAAACTAGTGAGACGTTTTGCCAGTATTGTAAAGAACAGCTTGCCCTCTACGTTGAGCAAGGAGATGTTTCGGAACAGGTCTATAGTGGATGACACTCGCTCCTTCGGGATTAGTACTCCGCCTGCTCTCCTCCAGGATACTGGCACACATTTCTTCCTCCAGGCAACTTGCATGAGTTTCCACAGTACTCTCAGTGTCTTCGGACACATTTTGTAGACTCTGTAGGGGACTCCGTTCGGGCCTGGGGCTGCTGCTGCTCTAGCCCTCTTGACTGCTGCCAACACCTCACTCCATTTTGGGGGAGTGACATCCATCGGAACTGAAGGTTCTGCAGGTCTTGGTACGTACCCCGGAGAATCTAGCGGCCTGTCTTTCTCTGGGTCAGAATACGTTGCTTTCAAGTGGGCTTCCAGATCTTCCACTCCAATGGTAAGATCCCCTCCCTTCTTCTCTTCTAACAGTGACTTCGCAAACTTGAAGGGGTTTCTGAAAAACTGTTTCCTCTGGTTCTCTTTCCTCTTACGCTTCCTTCTCAACCTCTCAGCTCTTCTCAGACACTTCAGCCTAGTTCTAACCTCCTCCCACAGAACTTGGAGACCAACTTTCTCATCTGGACCTGCTTTTCTCCATAGCTTCCTCAGATGTCTCCTTCTGATGATCAGCTTAGAAATCTCCTTCTGCCTTCTGCTTATACGTCTTGGTTCGCTAGATCTACAGTCACTCGACAGTGTTCCAAGCCTCCCACTGCAAAAGTCATACACCATGTTGCCAAACTTGTTCAGCTTTCTTTCGACATCTCCCTTGAGGCCTTGCTCTAAGATGTTACTCAAGTCGCTGCCTAGAACTTCCCAGGTGGCCTTGTCGCTGGCTCTGGGCCACTTGATCTTCTCCTTCCTAACAAAACGCTCTTCCTTCTTTGGGCTGGCTACCCTAGACCCTGTGTCATACGTTGGCTGCTTGTCACCCGCTCTGGGGACCGGTTCCACTGGGGGAGTCTCACTGCCTGGATCAGGGTCACCGCTGTTGAAGTCCTGGGTACTGTGGTTGGTCACCTGACCCGTGACCTCTTTCGTCTGACCGGCTTGCGCCGAGCGTTTGCGCTGCTCCTCATTCTGGCATTTCATCTTCCCTTGATGGATCCTGAGACCTCTGAACGTTGTGACCCGCTGCCACCCACAACTGCAAGCCCTCAGTATCTCTCCTTCTCTTGATCTTTGATCGGTCCTTGTCGACAACGGTGGATCTGTTCTAACGGGTCCATCTCGCATCCCCGCTCTCGCAGGACCCCGGGGCTGACTCTTTGTAGAACGACTTGTTGTAAGAGTTGTAGTTATTATTGTTATGTATAACTTGCTGGTACATGCATATGGATTGTATATCTTCATTCTATTGTGGTTGTATCACAGTATGTTATGGGGAAGACAACCTGTTAAGATGATTTATAACGGTGCTCTCAGTTTTATGCAAATTCTGTATTCAAGTTTTCCAGCCTACCTTCTGTATGATGCTATACATGTATTCCCAATGTCAGAGAACAAGTGGGTAGAGTGCTCACCTTGCATTCAGTAGATCATGAGTTCAATCCCTGGCAGAGTCATACCAAAGACTTTAAAAATGGTACATACTGCTTTCTCTGCTTAGCACTCAGCATTTGAGAATGAGTATGGGAGTTAACACGCACCACTACCAGTAGACTAGCCCCCTGCTGTAGTGATTGCACAATTATGTGGCCCAAGGGCTACTGAACCTGAAGTGGGTGCCACCTTATGCACCACGTGGTGTGGGAAGGACTTAAACTTTTTTAAAAATCCAAACCAACAGGTGCAGGGCACGGCCATGCGTGTGTCAGTGGGAGACTACAGGGGCAGGACGGCGGTGGAGGGGGAAGCCTCCCTGAGGATCAACCCTGTGAAGCTGAGCGATGCCGGGGTGTACTGGTGCGTGCTGAGGAGTGGGGGGGTGGAGGTGGACGAAGACTCCATCAGGGTCACTGTGCTGGGTAAGCAAACCGATTACTTCCGACAGTCACCTCAATTTTTTCTAAGCTTTTCCCATTTAGGCCACACCAAGTAAATTTTATGGATGACGTCCGCGCGCGCATTGATTTTGGCCTGTTCCTAGAAAAAGAAACAAGAAATTCCGCTTCCTGTAACTATGACCAAAGAGTCACGACAGTGCCGCAAATAGGTTTGTACGGACCAAAGCTTATAAAGCATCAAGCAAGACTTCCATTAGGAATTCAGTTAGGTACATGCTGCCACATTTGAAGAAACCTATCCTCCCAAAGCACAGGACGACAACTTCTGTTCCACCTGATTTATTGCTGTTTTGATGATGAATAAAAGACCTCTTGCTTGTTACACTGTGTACGTGTCACCTCATTCAATTGGTGTCCTAACATTTGTCGTCTCTTAGTATATTTCTAATCTAGGCATCTTGTTTTTTAGGGCCCTTCTCGTTTTTTTTTCGCCCTCTCGCATTAGATTTAGGGTCTCCAAAGGACGTCATCCATAAAATTTACTTGGTGTGGCCTTATAAGATCACCAAAAGACTAACCAAAATTGCAGTTCATTATCCACTGCCTTCAAAGAAGATGGCAAACCTCACCAATATCACCATACCTTATTATTGATCAGGCAATAGTTCTAGGTACTGTATTTCCTGCAAACAAAAGATTGTTGTATGAGTGTTCTCTTGAGTATGTTGAGACACTCATAGACATCAGTTCTGTCACATGGATTATGCCAAAGCTAGGTTCTCATTTTAACCTGAGTGAAGTAAGGAAAGTGCCTTTCCCAAGGGCACAGCATTGGGGCATGTAAGTGGATTTGAAGCCAAGGCCTTCCATTGCACCACCTGACATCACATGGTATAGCATGTCGGCAGAACATATTGTGCCCGTGTAAAACCCCATTTTTCACAGCTTTCGTTGGATTTTTGGTCAACGTTGCATCAGAATTTTACCTGTTGCAGACAAAATTTTTTCCGACACAACAGTTGGAAACTACAGACGGAATGTAAACTTTATATGCCCAAATACGACCTTATGTAAGACGTTCTGCCAAAGTGCTAGCACAATGCATTACAGTTTTCGCAGGTGCAGTATGTTCTGCAGGTGTTTATGGCATAGATTACACTAAATGTTTCCTGTTGTTCCATCTACAGCTGGTGGGAGGCGCCGCAGGAGCGCTCCACCGGGGGTGTTCTCCAGTCCCCCCTCCAGCCTCCCTACTTCTCCTGAACGGAGGTCAGAAGTCAGAGGTCACTCTGGGTCGCCTGCCGCATCTAGGACAAGCAGGTAAGGGGAAGGGACTCTGCCAATCATCAAATTGGTAGTTGATCTAGATATGATAATATGATATGTACTGTAAATTCCTGAATTTTCGCATTAGGAGGGCAGAGGAGATAGACTTTCAGTGTTTTAATCTCATGGTTGAAACTGTTCTGCATTATAGTACTGTTACACAGTAGTAATACAATGAAAATACATTGGAAATTTTTTCAGCTGAACATTCAGTTTTGTTGATAACAATGTACAATGTTCTATCAAAACATCCGTTCAGCACCAAGGACAGGCCCCTGTATGTATTGTTTGTGTTGCTATGTGAAGGCATGTTGTTTTAACATGGTTTTTAAACATTTCTGTATTACAGTAGCAATGGATATACAATGCAAACTCATATTTTTCTGGTTGAACATCAGATATCAAGTTTTGTTTATATTGTTTATAACTGTATCATGTGAGGCTTTGCAAAACGTATAACAATATGTGGCTATCAGAACACCCATTCAGCCTCAAGGACAGGTCCATACATGTATTGCTTGTATTCTATTTAAAGTCATGTTGTTCCCAATCTTGTTTCACTTCCAGCAGGCCAGGTTCCAGTGGGTCACTACACAGCAGTCACTCCTTACCAGGCTCCACACCAGACCTCAGCAGACCGAACAGATCACCCAGTCCGTCTGTGGCCGCCACCCGGAGAGCTTTCGAGAGAAAAGTAGCGGCAGCAGGGCCAGGTCTCAGGACCCCCTCTCCCTCCCCCTCCCCCAAACGGTTCACCCCACCCCCCCGGACCCCAGTCCCCCCTCCCCCAAACGCTTCACCCCACCACCCCCGGACCCAGTCCCCCCTCCCCCACCAGATCCAGCCCCACCCCGGGGAGGGGAAGGGCCCCCAGCCCCGGCGGCAGCATCGCGGTGAGGAGGATTCCCAGCCCAGGGGGGAGCAGTTTTGTGGTAACCTCAGCACAGCCCTACTCCCCCAGGAGAGCTTCCTGGTCACCTATGTCTTCACAAGAGCTCACCAAGGTGGCACGCACTTAGTTCTTTTATTTCTTATTCTCTACTGTAGGTTAACTACTATTATTCTTAAATCACACAATCACGCTTCTTGTAGTACACCAAGCTGGCAGAGGAAAGTCACTCGCAACCTCATTTTTGGTCTTTATCTCTCACCTTTCCTTTATATTTTGAATAATGTCCAAGATACAAAAATGGACTAGTGCTAAATAGGATGTTGTCAACTAAATTGGTGCTATCTTGATTTTTTTTTACTAAGCTAGCGCAATGTATATTTCAGAATGTAGTTTGCAGTATATCACTACATGTATTTCATGTACTTGCAATTAACCTTCGTATTTGCAACTAACTTATTGTTACAATAATGATTTATTTGTTCTTCAGTCTGCCACAAGCCCCAGAGATGCCCCGCCGCCCCTCCCCACCCCTCCCCCTGATGCGAGAAAGCAGCTTCGGCCGCTACGGGTCCCTGCTGACAACTACTCTGACGCCATCGAAGGCCACACGGCACTCCTACGCCTCAGCATCGTGGCCTCCAAAACCCCGCTGACGGAGGTGGAGTGGAGCAAGGAGAAGAAGTGGAGAGGCCGCACGCTGGTGTACGAGCGGAAGGGGCCGTCGCGGGTAAAGTCTAGCTCCTCTGGTGTGCTCGCCGGTCACGCTACCGCACTTGTGACCCTGCGGGCAAGTTTGGTCTTACACACTAACCAATCAGCTTTGCTTTTGTTAGAGGACAAGCACACTAATTTCAGTTTTGGTGCCTTTTAACCCAAAATCGTATTTGCAAAAGGTGATTCCTTGGTTTATACCAGTCTCACACACATCTGTATCTTTATCAGTATAGCCGTTATAACCGCCATTCGGCATAACACACCAGCTTTGCAGGCACTTGGCACGGCGGCAGCTAGGCAAGCTATATCACACCAAACACATGGGGGTGATATTTGACCCAAATCCCCAATGTGTACAGGACTGGTATAAACCAATGAGTCTAGCTCCTTTTGCAAACAGGATTATGGGTTGAAAGGCACCAAAACTGAAATTACTTTACTTGTTCTTTAAGTCTGCCTTTTCGTTGTTGTTTTGCTGTTGTTTGTTTTGATGTTGTTGTTGTTGTTGTTGAATGCTTGCCAACTCGGCTGTGTTGTTTTTGTGCATACTCATGCAGCAAACTCACATGTTTGAGTTTAATGTTTTTACTTGAAAATTAAACTTATGTTAAAATTTTTGCCTTTGTTGCTTGTTATATCATAGTCTACCTTAAAGCAAGTACAGTCAAAACTGACCAAGAAGATCTCTCAGGGGGCTGATAAAATCTACTCAGGTTGTCACTACAGACAGGATTCTTCATGCTCGTGTCACTGGCAAAAAGAGACCTCCAAGATGTGGTCACACTTGTACAGGTTTGACTGTAGCTTGTTTTCCCTCCTGTATGGCACTTTATAACATGGATTGTAAATTTCTGACAAATTTAAATCCTTGCAGGTTGCCCATGGAACCTTCCAAGGCAGAGCGTTTATGGACAGCGATTTTTGGTCACACTTGTATAGGTTTGACTGTACTAGCTTGGTATTACTCAATGACATGTACTGCACTTTATAACATTGATTGTAAATTTCTGTCAAATTTAAATCCTTGCAGGTTGCCCATGGGAACTTCCGAGGCAGAGCGTTTATGGACAGTGACTTCGAGCCACACCTGCGCATCCAGCCGTGCAAGTTCAGCGACACGGGCATGTACTGGTGCAAGGTCACGTCTCAAGGTCGGGTTACCCTGGAGGAGAATGTTCATCTTACCGTGGACAGGGAGGGATCGCCAAGGTCTCCAAGACAAAGTAAGGAAAAGGGAAAGTGTAATACTGATACCTCATTGGGTACTAGTACTAGCTTCAAAGTTCATCTGTGTTGTTAGAAGTTGCTCTGAAACAGATTTGAACTGTAATTGCCAACACAGCTGCTATGAATTGCAAATTCCTTCACTGGAGTTGAACAGTTGAAAAGTTTTATGTGTTGGAAATTACACTCAATTACAAACCTGTGTCATTGGGTTTTGAACAATTAGAATTATATCAGTATTATCAATATCTCATTTTTATTTGGTTAACCCTTGTCCTGCGGGGCCCATATATATATGGGTTGCACATACAGTACCATCTATATAGTGCCCTGTATATGTGCGATTTGGGGGTGTTTCTCGTGCAACGCATCACACCGCAGCGAAACGCAACAAATGCGGAAGTAACTACGCCGCCGCAGGGCAAAAAAAGTCAAGGGTCTGTGACCTGATTAAGACATGAAATTATTTGAAAATATTGTGTAAAAATTGCCAGCAGGACAGTATGATACAGCACAGCATACATTACTGATGTTATGACTGTGTACATATAAATTTTGACCGTGTATCTTATAATTCTATTCTCCCAGGCCTGACCCTTAATAATAGTCTAGGACTAGTTGAACAACCCTTGCCACTGTAAGCCAAACTAATGAATAAATATGGCTGTGTTGTTTCTCAGCCTCCCCAGGTAGACAGAAAGTGTCCGGCTCCCCGAGGAGTGGGATGTCCTCAGCCCGCAGTGAGTCCAGCCTGGTGGACGCAGCAAGGCTTCAGTTTGAGGAGTTGGCCTTAAAGTCCAGCTCAGAGACAAAACTCAACACCAGCACCAGCTTTGGTACTCCTGGCAGTCTTAAGGTAAGCACAAGTGAAGATACATGTTTACAAAGTATTCTTAAAGATAAAACAGGCTAATCTTTAAGAATTTATAACCACAGTTATATGTTACCATTATTGATTTCCTCATGGCATGTGTTATTACACATTTCAAGCTCATTCATCAAATGCTTTCATTTGTAACATCTTCCATTATATGAATGTATTCCATCTTTGTATTTTCTATTAAAAGATATTTCAACATCTATCATTAAGAGAATGACATTTTCAAGGAATTAAGGTTCAAGCTCTAAGATTCAAGTTATACAGCTACCAGAAGTTTCTGTCTGTAGTTAATTGCATAGTTATACAGATTTTACATTGACCATTCCTCACTCCACCAGAGAGATTCCTACGTGAAATATCAGCAAGCCTTGATGAGGAAGGAGAAGAAGGAGGAGACCATGCAGAACTGCCGTGACGAGGACTCCAGTAGTGACAGCAGTAGTGAGAGTTCTGGGGCGTCTGACTCCACACCGGACACCGTGGTTGCTGCCAACGGACCTGTTAACGCATTCAGAGAGGACTCAGGATATGATAGCAGTATGTTTACTCGCGTTTGTTTGTTTGTTTAAGCCTTTGTTTATTCATGAAAAACTTAAATCGGCCTGCTGGTAGCTTTTTTTTTTAGGTCATAAGGGAAGAGTTGTGGTGAAGCTAGACACTGTGGTTGCTGCCACAGTGTCTGCCACGGACCTGTTAATGCCTTCCGAGAGGACTCAGGATATGATAGCAGTATGTTTACTCGTGTTTGTTTGTTTGTTTGTTTGTTTGAGACTTTGTTTAGTCATTAAAAACTCAAATTGGCCTGCTGGCAGCTTTTTATTGAGGTCATGAGGAAAGAGTTATGGTGAAGCTAATGCTAAGTGCAATATCATGTTTTATGCATCCTTCTTCATGTTTCTGTATTTTAACTTTATGATGTGCAATAGTGTATATGCTTGAGTTCTTTTGAAGAAATGTACATGTACAATGTACATTGATTCGCACTTCAGTGACTCAAAGATCAACTAGAAAGGCCAATATTTGCTTTGGAGCAAATACAGCGATGGGTTCACCACATTTTACGACATGGCAGGGAAAGAATGAGAAACACAAGGGAAAACAATGATTTACATTGATATAACTATAATATGAAGTAAAATACAACTAAAACAACAGTTGGATAGCTATTCCCTACTTTATTGGTTAGGATTTTTAATTGCATAATGCAAACTGTTGATTTTCAAAATAAAAAAAAACGTCCATGCCCGGCATTCCAATGCTGGAGCAGGAAAGCTTGACATACCTACCAAAACACTTGAATACAGACATACATACTGTCAGTATGGAAATGCTTCTGTGCAGGTGTTAATCAAGTTAAATCCCAACAGCCAATCAGCAAGAAGTATAGAGGAAAGCTGCATGCCTATTGGTTGATGCCCTGCATTCCATTGTGATGACTCATGCCCAAACGTGGTAAACAAGGCACACTAACACAGTAATACATGCTATAACACAGCCAAAAAACTCAAATAAAACCATTCTAAAAGCCTGTATCACAATAATTCAAAAAACACCTAGGGGTATTTGCCCACTGTACCTCCATACCAAATTTCAGGACCTTGGGCCCTAAAATGAAGAAGCTGAATCCATTTAAAAAATGGCAGGAGAAGAAGAAGAAGAAGAAGAAGAAGAAGAAACATCAGAAAAAGCAATATGGTTTCACCACACCACTTCGTGGTGTGGTGAACCCATAATAAACAATTCTTGAGTCTTGAGAAAAAAGAGGTTCGCGTCAAAATATCACAGCAAGTGGGTTACGTAACTGAAGTCCTAATGAATTACTTTTTGACAAGATAGTGTTTGATTGCTTTATGTGTGCTTTTTCTCTAATTTCTGTCCCTTTACCTGACATGCGGCACAAGGATGTATCGCAACGTATATTGACTAATCTTGCACAAGACAGGTATGCTTATACATGTAATTCTACAGTCACAATGATTGTTTGTTTTGGTTCTTCTTTACCCTCTACATGTCAGATGCACCAGTGATATAAGATAAGAGGCCTCTTAGCATTGTTTTTTTAGGTTGAAGTATCTTCAAGTTAATATTATCCTGTTTCACTCTTTCAGCCCAAACATCCAGTACTTCAGGGTTGCTCACAACAATCACACAGCTCAAAAGGTATGAAGTATTTTATGGATTGACCCTTAAATATCTAATAATAATAGATGCGTTTCTTTGTACCTTTTGGACTTTAAATTTAGTTAGTTTTCAACAATTGAGCAACTGTTTAACCCATTGTCTTCTTCCATTAAAACTTGCAATGGTTGGTAACTTTTTGACGACCCTTTCTTGTCCCGCAGACAGTGTATCAAGGGCCTTGGGATTGAGATGCTGATGAAAGCCTACTCCATCATCGACTCAGGGGAGGATCTAGAGGTACATGTAAGAGTAACTTCCAATTGCTATTTTTGATTGATAAGTATTAACTAAGCATCAAAAATAGAGTCATATGGCAGTGAAATATCCATATGTTACATTGTCATGAAAGTTAATCTGTGTTGGTAGTAACATGTACATGAGGCTTCTTTTCTAAGAAACTTAAAAAAGTGCATTTCTTCCATATTTCTTGATATTGTATTGTTACACTACGAGTAAAGACACTCTTTTTTTACACAACCAAGTGTTTTATTCACAGCCCACGTTTTGGTTACAGTCTATCACCTTCCTCAGGGCAAGCGACACCTGTGCTGCAGTGCAATGTGAACCAGTCAGAATTGCCCTGAGGAAGGTGACACACAATCACAGAAACGATGGCTGTGAATAAAACACTTTGTTGTGTAAAAAAGAGCGTCTTTACTGAGTGACTTACATGTACCAACCTGATGAAACTATTCACAGAATTGTTACACCATGTGTTGAAAGTAACATACTTTCCCCTCTCTTGTAGAACCAGCTGGTGAACCTGATGGGCAGAGCCAGGTTTGAGCTGTACGCAGACAAGGTGTGGCAGCTCCGCTTTCTGGAGAAATCCCAGCTCAACAACGAGGCCAACTCTGACACCATCCCTCTATAAACCTGTATATAGTAGAGTGAATTCATTTCTAAAGCTAACATCTAGCACACCAGCATCCTTCAGTCGTTCTACATTTCAGTAGGGGCATTGTCATTAAATAGCTTAAACACTGTTCAGAGTTAGATGTTCAAGTTTTAGTTGTAACAAGCTGTTCGGTGTAATGTAGCCAGCTGCCAGCTGTAAAGCTGGTGTGTTATGCCAAACGCTGGTTATGCCGGCTATACAGATACATTTACATGAATGCATGGGTCCTCAGTGTGATAGATGTTGGTTGGGTTGAGGAATGAATCTTCTCTACTACATACACCATCCCACTAAAAATCTGGTTACCAATACTGTAACATACACAGAAATGACTGCAGGGTCACTGAACATAATTATACAATGTATAGCAGTATTTCAGAACTGTGACTATCTAATTCATATTGATTGAACTACAAATTTGGACAGTTGGTTTCTGTCTATATTGTATTATACACTGAAATGACTACAGGATTACTGAATTTGGTTATGTAGAGATATACATTGAAGCCATTCAAAATTAGACTTTTTTTGCCTGAAAATGTGTGTTGCAGAGAGTTTATACATGTAGCATCAGAAGAAAGTATAATAGACAAAGCATTACCAGTAGTTACGCATGTCGATACTATCTTCTAGACATGATTACTTCTTTTTAAGGAATGAGGGTCACTTCTTGCCTATGTTTAGTAAAAGCTGGTTACTTTATACAGTTGATTGCAGTGTTGGTTGTAAGGAAGATTGTATTTTACTTACTGTTTCATTTCTTGATGGAGTATTCTGTGATATAAGTTACCATACAGTGTGACTGTTTGCATTTTGTGGGATGGAAATAACATTTGGTATCTGAAATGATTTTGTGTATCATAACTGTTCAAAGTTTTGATTTGTAAATGTTGGATCCATTTGTAAACTACTAATAAATTTAAAGATAACACACATACATGTAACTACAGAAATGTAACATACATGTAGTACATTTAGACTTGTGCTCATGTTTCATATCGCATTTTGATTTACTGAGTGCTGTCCTTAACAGACTTGTTGCTGTGTTTTTAAACAAAGATTTGTATATTTTGCAGTGAGATCTTCTATTTTTGTACTTTGTGTTCTATTGAGAAAATAATAAAGGTGTGGTTTACTTGGAATGCATCCTCAGAGTCTAATTCTTGTTAACTTATAGACATAGTTGTAAGCAGACAAATGACAAAAAATCTTGTACATTTGTGGTCATACAAATTTGATATTATGTATTAAAAGTGTTGCAGTTATCTCCAGACTAAATGTTAAAACAAAAACAAGCTACATGTATATGTTGGCTCCAAAAAGCAAAACTTTTCTGCAATTTAGAAAAGTCAACCACAAATTTGTTGTGAGGTATATTCATGTTTATGCAAATAGAATTTTCACACCATTACAGTTATTCAGAAGTATTGCCAATATAGTCACAACTGACATGCATGTGTGTAACGTTACATTGCACAATGATACTTGGCAAATATGCAAAGAAAAGGTTTCTGTGTATCTAATAAACCAGCACCATTTTGTAATATATCTTGATGATACACTGTATTCTTATCTTGAACAATTGCATTGTAAAACAGATTTCACACTCAGTAATTTCTGCCTCCATTATATTGTACATCAACCTTGTACTGTTGCTAGTCAGCCTCAGGTATCTATTGTTTTAGTTACTATTGTGTTTTATATGTACATGTATTTGCAGTTATTTCTTGTATGTTTTTTTTTTAATGTCATGATATAGGCCATGTGCCTTAAGCAAACAATAAATAGAAGTATGTATGTGTATGTATGAATAAACTGTTGGCACATCTACGTAGCCCCTGGGTTCCCATCCATCCCTGGGCTGCCCTGGAAGTGTTTGAAGCCGTAGTGGGCCTTCAGGCTGTTACTCTGGGTGAAGCGGACCCCACAAACCTGACATTGATACGGCTTCTCGCCCGTGTGCACGCGGATGTGCCGCTTCAGGTTGGATCGCTGCGTGAAGCTCGCACTGCAGGTCTGGGGATAAAGATTTGATTTGATTGATTGATTGATTGATTATCAACAACCAACTTTACCGGTATTGCACAACAATTGTAACGAATACAAATTACAATGTATAGCAAGTTGGTAAACAGTAGTACTAAGATACGCCAAAAAACAGTTGCTCAAGCAACTGGATATGATTTTGGAAAATCATAATTATAACCAAAATCATATCCAGTTGCTTGAGTAACTGTTTTCTGGCATATCTTATTACCTGGATGTCTACTATATGTAAGTTACATAAATAATCTATCTACACTATTTACTCTATACACTATGAATAGTGATTAGCTTGCCAAATTGCACTAGCATATCCTACAGAAATCTACAACTACATGTAAATGTGACATTGTATAGTATTTTCATACAAAATGCCTTTGAAATGCTGATACATTATGATCTTTCTTTATATTAGCTTACTGTGGCACAAAGTCACTCAGCAAGGTACCAGAAGCATACAATGAGTGCATTTCAACTTATGAAAAGCCAAATTCCTATAGCATAGCTACCCCTGACAAGTGTTTTTACAGCAGCTATGTGAGTTTTTACAGTTGACAGTCTCACTTTGCACTTGAATGGCCTCTCCCCGCTGTGGCGTCTCCAGTGCGTCTCCAGGGTGGACCTGGTGGTGAAGAAGGCGTGGCACATCGGGCACTTGTAGGGCCGCTGGTGGTTCTTGGGCCCTCCGGGGGCGTGAAGCTTCTCGTGCTTCTGGAGCCTCTCCAAGTCGCGGAACGGCTTGCGGCAGATCCCGCACTCGTACCACATGTGCATGGGGTCATCCGGGTTCACAACCTTCAACAATAGAATTAAGTGGCTTTTCAATGAGGGGGTACCTGAACTTGCTACCTTTATTAACCAACCTTGGGGAAAGAGATGAAGACACTTGTCTAACGTCATTACCTATTCCTTTTTGTGTGCACTTTACGGTTTGATTTTGTTATCCCTGTACCCTTATTCATTCGTTCGTTCATTCATTCATTCATTCATTCATTCATTCATTCATTCATTCATTCATTCATTCATTCATTCATTCATTCATTCATTCATTCATCCATCCATCCATCCATCCATCCATCCATCCATTCATTCATTCATTCATTCATTCATTTACCTTCCATGTCATCACTGCGTCTGAGCCTGGGTCGTTGTTGTCGTCGTTGTTTCCACCAACATTGCTAGAGCGGTTTGGCGAAAGCCGCTCTCCGCCCCTCCCCGTGTGTGTTGTTGTTGTCTCCTCGACAGGAGTGGAGGTGTCCAGTTCCATCCCACCGCCGAGAATCAGACGGTTGGGCGTCCCTTGAGAAGCGAAGACGTTATGCACGATGGAACTGACAGCAGCCAGGTCCCCCGCGGGTCCAGTCTCTATAGCCGGGACGTTCAGCCCTGCTCTACGCATACTCGAACTGCTCTCAACACTAGAACTCATGTCGGGGTGGCTCTGTTGGATGCTGTGCTGCTGACTGTCGGTCGTTGCCTGCTGTACACAGGTCACGGAAACTGCTTCGTACACATCAGGGGGCTCAGTCTTCACCTGTAAAATCAATAAGGCTCATCATTTCTTATTCAATTCCTGCAAGTATACATGTAAGATTCTTAACTTAGACTGTCTTTTTTTCCACTCAGTGTTTGTAACTCAGACCTTTACTACATGTATGTAGTAACTGTTGTGCCTTATACTTTAAATATTTGTTATATATATTTTTTCATTATAGTTGATCAGACAGTAGTTGTATGTTCTTTACTACTTTACATTACGTTGCTTACTTTGAGACTGTCCATGTATCTGCATCGGTATATAGCCGGTATAACCGCCCTTTGGTGTAACAGACCAGCTTAATCCACATGAAATTATCCTTTTGGCATGATTTGGCAAGATTTATCACGTCAAAATAAATCAAATAGAATCAAAATCACACCTGAAAGTTGATGGCCTGTGATGTGCTTGGACTCTCCAGGCGATCTTGGTGACCCAACTCAGGGTTACTTCCCTGTGACGGAGTGTCCCTCCTCAGGGCCATGTCCAGACGACTGGCTGAGGTGTGTTCCACAGCAGGAGTGCTGCTCTGTGGGCTGGCATTCAGTATAGACAGTGGGCTACTGTGTACCACGGGTCTGGCATCACCGCTGGAAGTGCTGGAGGCACAAGCGGGGGGAGTTCTAGATCTCCTACTAGCTGCACTGGCTGTTGACGACAGCGTGTTCACTATAGTCTCTAAAGGAAGGTTAGTTCTCGAGGGAGATGCTTCGCTGGAGCCCTGCGGCGATTCCTTGGGTCTCATCTCAAACTTCGTCTTGACGAAGTCGGTGCAGATCCGGACCACCTCGTGCATGTGAACGTAGCTGGCAGCCGACAGAACATCCAGGACATTCGCAGCTGACAGCCGCAGGCTCGCCGTGTAGACAAAGTCTAGGACCTGCTCGAATCCCTCCGGGGTGACGTTGGGGAGGTTCACAGTCTTCAAGTGGCTTCCCAGCGGGAAAGACGGTACAGCACTGTTGAAATAGTCGCTAGAAGCGGCCAGGACGGCGCTGTGGGCTTTGAACTCCGTCCCCTGTACTTTGATGACGACGTCGCACATGAGGCCCTGTCTGCGTTGGTTGTCCAGACCTCGCACCAGAGCCTTGTACTGGTTGGGATAGTAGTGGATGAAGGTCTCGGACATGTTGCTCATCTTACTGTTCAGGTAGACATACCTGTGACAAAAAACATGCCTTCAACATCAAATGAAAGTTGTTTGCAAGCTTATACCTAAGTCTAACTTAGTACAACAACAGATATACAACAAGTATGTGGACGTGAAAAACACACAATGTGGTAGGGACATATAGGGAACACACATGTAACAGCGACAATTCAAGCACTAGTGCTGGCTCTATCTAGACAAGCATCTGATGAGTATCAACGCTAACAGTTTGCACTCTGTGGATATCGCAAACATCTGGGGGCTTAAGTTGCATAAATTTTGTACAGAAAATGTGCTAGGAAACAAACAAATCCAAGTAAAGGTTAATGTAAAAAAGCCCCTGTGAGGGTATAATTATAATACTAACTCCATGTTGGCCCAGAGTTTGAAGAAGTTTCTCAGATGAACAGGAATGAAATGGCTATTGTCCTCCTAACAAAGCGAGCAAAATCTACACTGGGAGTCCTTCGTGGTTCTGTATTCATCAACGTTACCATGGGGAGAGTCTACAGACGTTCTGGAACGTACTTATTATGACGTGGCCACTATAATTTGCTGTGGAACAATCCAGCTATTCTATTAAAGTTATTATACAGCATAGGCTTTAACCACGAATGCTTTGAACTAATGAATAAGCAATACTTTAACTTCTAATGATTTTTATAGTTATTAAGAGTCCACGAAATAGCCATACCTATCATTCTGCCCCCCACCCCCTTCCAAAAAATTCCGACAAATATTTTGCAATTTATGTCGTTTCCAAGTCCCTGGTTGCAAAGATACGGAGTCAACAGTAACAACAATGTCGACAGAACAAAGGGACGATGCTTCTACCCTTACAATACTTACCAACACTTAGAATTCCTTAGCAATGGAACTTGTCCATTGTCAAAGATCGGTCCTGCAACTTTTTGAGCTTCCGGGTTGCGAGACCCCACATATTGGGTGCGACCACTGTTTAAAGGGGGTTCTTGGATTATAGACAGTGACATGAGAAATGCATTTTGTCTTTCTTTCATTCGCACAAAATAAATATAGACATATCTTTGTGTGTCTACATTTATACGAAAATTTAATGACACAATAGTGTGAATTACAGCATATAACTTTTCTGTCAATGCAAGCGTTGCATCTATATCCAACCCGCACTGAATGGAACAGTCCACTAAACTTTGACCCAAGTGGCCATTTGAAACTGTGACACATGTGTGCAGTAGGGAAGGTGTTTATGGACTTATAACTTCTATGTACTAAGCTACAGAACACACAGTCGACGTTTTTCGTGTAAAACCAGCCACTGCTTATTGTCAGAAAAGGTAGGAATATTATGAATACTTTTCTAACTACCTGTTAACGTTGTTATATGCCAGAAAGAAATTTGCAGCCTTTGAAAAGTTACTGAATCAGACTTTGATCAGACTAAAAACTAGAAAGGTAACATTTACAAAGCAAATTCAGAATGTTAACTCTTACTCAAACACATTCATATACTACTGGAAGTGCTTGCCACGATATAACTTACATGTACATTATTATAGTACTAGTATTAGCGAGAAGAAGAAACTGAGCAAAAACAATAGGTTTTCCTTCTGCGAATGTAAACATAATATTTTGTAAACAGTTCCACAAATTTACAGTTTATGAGCTATTGAAAGCAAACTTTTGTGTTACAACATTTCTATAACTTGTGATGGTCGATATAACCTCTTCCTAACTTCCCCAGCCATGGCCCTTCGCGGGAAGACGAAGTTCCTGCTGAGTGTGTTCACAGCCATCATGGTGTGGGCCTACCTGAACTACCCCGTCCCTCCCTTCTCCTTCGAGCTCACGGAGTGGAGACGCACCGGCAGATTTTTCTCACATGGAGACTTCAAGATTTTCTACCAAGGTGAGAGCAAGTCATGAAGTTAGAACTTCCAAAGAAATTGTTGTCCCTCATTGACCGGTAGGTCATTGACCCCTGGGTGCGTGTCAGAAAGGTTTCAGAAAACGTTACATATTCTCCAAGCAGTTTGTATCTGTAACTGGTATCTTTTTATGCCAACATTGGGTTGTTGTAAAAAAAAGATACCAGTGGGAAAAAGAAAGCCTGATAAAAAGCCTAAACACACGCCAAAAATAAGCCAAAGCCCAACCTCTGCTCGTAGAGTAAAACACAGTATGTTTATCTTTGACTTGTTTGAGAGACCTTTAGTATAGTACACCGGTACCCCACCCCAGGTATGTAAAATTTAGATATGCAGGTACAGTGTACAAGTACAATGTTCTTGGGGATGTTGCTGCATAGATGTCTTAAATTTACATTTAGTGTGTAGCACAAAATATTACAAGTAGTTATCCATACAAAAAGCCAGAAGTTTGATACCCATCAACATGTATCTGATATGTATATGTAACATTACATATCCCTCCCTCAGATGTGAATGGAACAGGGAGACCACAGGACGTTCTTCTCTGTGTCCACGGCTTCCCTACTGCCAGCTACGACTTTGCCAAGGTAACATTACCAACAGTGGCTGTACATGTCCTTGGTGCTGATTGGCCAGTGGGACCAGTTTCAGAACCTGTTCTTGGAGTTGATTGGCCAATGAGTCTAGTTTCTGGACCTGTCCTTGGTGCTGATTGGCTTATCAGACTGATTTTGAACCTGTCCTTGGATTTGATTGGCAAATGAGACTAGTTGCTGGAGCTGTCCTTGGTGCTGATTGGACTTTCAGGCTGATTTTGAACCTGTCCTTGTTGTTTGGCAATGACACTTGTTCTATCCCTCTAAATCTTTTTGTATTGTTAGTCAAACTTCTTCCTGCACCAGATATAGGATATAACAGGGGCCTAGTTCACTGGTAGTTGTATGTGTTCAACTCTCATTTTTTTCCAAGCAAGAGTGCTAAGCAAAGAAAGCATGTACCATTTCTAAGTCTTTGGTATGACTTGGCTGGGGATTGAGCTAACCAGATACTGAATGCGAGTCTAACACTCTATAATCACTTGGCCATTGCCCCAGTTCTTGCAGGTTGTTCATGTCACCATTTGACTTCACCCCTCAGGTGTGGGAGGGGCTGAATGGGAGGTTTGGTCGTGTCATTGCGTCGGACATGCTCGGCCTTGGCTTTAGTGACAAACCGGTAAGTACAAACAAACAAACAAATTTACTTACTAGTACTTAGTAGTTTAGTCCAGTGTTGTTATCAGCCTGGGCTTCAGTGACAACCTGGTTAGTACAAATAAACCAAAAAACTTACTTACTTAACTGTTACTTAGCTAAGTCAAACTGATACTTAGCTAAGCTTTGAACTGTGTATCTTATACTGGGAGAATGCTTGCCTGCTATCCTGCCCTTCCTATACATACTACATACAAAAAGTTTACATAGTGTCTGTCATCTCTGTAATTTGAAGATAAGCTGTTCAGTGAGCAGAACTGCATGCTTTGAGATCATTTTCACTTTCTCACAACCTGTCAACTTAATAACTACTATGCTATGATTTGTAACCCCAGTATGGCCACAACTACACAGTGTCGGAGCAGGCCTCCATCACAGAGAAGTTACTGAAGAAGCTGGAAGTGGAAGAAGTGCACATCTTATCACATGACCTGGGGGACACTGTAGCACAGGAACTGCTCAGAAGGTAGAAGGCATTATTTTTTGATTCTGCCTACCTGCCTATATGCACAGGCCTGGTACTGGCCCCTTGCTCCCCTCTGTCAGGTTCCTCCAGCCAGCTCTATCAAGGGCAATAGCCTCTGCTTCCCTTAGGGTAAGCCCTGTGTCACTCTGAATCTGGTCTATCTTTTGCTTACTCAATTATAAAACTCTCTAGTACTGTTTAAAACTAAGGGTTTATTGCCCAACCTAATGTTTTCTTCCTGACAAGCCTTTTGGATTTAACATAATTTTGCTTTAAATATCAATCGCAACAGTGGGAGCAAGCAACAGCAAATTCACATGTCCCTGATAATCATTATGGTAATTTGAACTAGTTGGATTGTCCTAGAGTGTGCGTCTTTTATTGCTTTGTGATGCATTTTTTTGTCTCTGTAGGTTTCTTTATCGTCAGAAGTCCTCCAGTAAAGGTGCACGATACCTGAAGATCAAGAGTTTATGTCTTATGAATGGAGGTAAGTTGCTCACCTACCCTTATATGAAAATTTAACTACATCAAAAATGAATTTCCACCCTACACTTGCATAACAAGCTATGATGGTTGAAGCTTCTGCATGTATTTTATACCTTTTGCATTGTAATGCTGTTGAGCGGAATGTTCATTGCAACTTCTGTGTAAACTTGTCTTGAAAGTCAGTGGAAGATGGAATATTAGTCAACTTTAAAGCCCCAGAATGTATCTGCCACATACATTTGTACTTGAGACAACTTTATATAAAGTTTCAATGAAGTGGGAATGACGCATACATCAACTGAATCTCAGTAGTTGAACAAAACAACTTAAAAGAAGCAAGACATGATTAACAACATAGTTCTTAACTCCAGGTGTGTTTCCAGAGACGAACTTTCCTCGAATATCCCAACGTGTATGTACTAATACTACATGTATACATGTATATCTAACTTAGATAATGAACTCAACTGTCATACCCAGTAAGAGTAGGAGTGACCTGGTGAGCTTGGTTACGTGTGCTTGCAATACACTATTATTAGCTTTGAGTCGTGGCTTTCTTGCTGTTTTTGTAGGGGTATTTCCTGAGACCCACCATGCAACATTCATGCAGAAAGTATGTTTCTTTGAATTAAGGAACTTAAGGAACTAAGATTATATATTTTACATGTCCTTATTCTGTACCTTCTGTTATCAAATTTCCTGACATTACTGTATGAGCTTTTTATAAGTAAATGAACAGTCTCAGTCATAATGGATATTTTGTTAACATGTAGACTAATTTATTCATTATCGAAGATGATTATTGGAAAGTTATCAAACAATGTACTACATTTGAAAGTTAACGGTTTTACTGAATTTCAGATCATGCTGAATCCATGGCTTGCACCTTTAACAAGACTGAGCAACTACTATATCTTCAAAAATGGGTTGGTATTTTTAGAAATTGGATACAGATAAAAAATTATTCCATTACGAGAATACTTGCTTCTATTTCCGCTACAAAATTTGGCAAATGTGTTTCAGGATGAATATCGTTGTTAAGTTGGTACCATAAAAAAAATAATCTTGTTCACCTCATAACTTTCAAATGCTTAATATTATCGTCTTGTTTTCTTTTTTCTTTAATCTTCAGACACCTGGGTGGCCTAGTTCAATTTTGACAAATTGGTTTTCAATAGGGCCCAGTACAAAATGCAATAAAATCAAAGATACAGGTACAAACAAAGACAGATATAAACAAATCAGAATCTTTATCCATAACTCATGTCAATTTAACAGTCCAGGTCGGCTTTCCATTTTGGGGTCAGTTTACCTTGTGATTCTCAAATATTTGTAAGAATTGCACCATTTGCCAATGATAACCAAAGAAAATTTCTCTGTTTTGGCAGCTTTGGAAAGGTCTTTGGCCCCAACACTCAGCCCGCAGCGATGGACTTCGTTGATTTTTGGGTCCTCCTGCGGTGGAACGATGGATATCTTGTCATGCCTGGGTACGCAAGCACTTGAGTATGAATTCAGGATACAAAATTTAAATCTCCAGTGTAGTTGTAAAGGTACATGTAGAGATGCTGTCTTGACATAAGTATAAAGGAAAATACATTGCAAGATACAGAGTATATACAAATGTGCATTTGTCAACATGCATATACTACTCACACACAAACAATGCCTGTTCATCTTACCGTATTTATTTATTCTTTGCATGAAACCAGGGGCCCTTATTAAATCAACAAGAACAATATACAACATGTACATGGACAGAAAATTACAGATGAAGAAAAATGCCTTTTAATTTTCTCATTGCTGTTCAGACTATTTCAATGTTTTATTTAATGTTAGATTGCTCCAGTACATTGCTGAACGACATGAGAACAGGGATGTCTGGGTGGGGGCACTGCAGAAGTCTACTGTACCAGGTGGGAAAACTCAGTGATACATGGATCACAAGTTTCTGTCTTTGGTTCAGAGATATCAGATATCCATTTTTCCTAGAACTATGATACATGTAATTGCACATTGGGACTTGCTGCCACAAAGTACAGGGGCATCTTCAATAGATAGCTTTAAACATGGATTGCAGTGAGATGTACAATGTACAAAGGTTGGGTGTGACACATTGTTTAGCATGATATAACCAGTTACTACCGTGCCACTAGCTTACCTGCAAAGCTGGTGTGAAAGTGATCTCGAACCAGTTTAGCTTATTGAAGAGCTAATCTTCCACTGGTCGTGACAGAGAAGACAGACACTATGTACAGTATTTACAGGTTCATTGTACCGGGGAAATTCCCCTAGCTCTTTTCGACAACCACAATGAACAGTGGACCATGGCTTAACATCCCGTCCGAAGGACTGTGACCCTAAACAGTAGCATGCATGTCGGGTGAGCGACATCAGCCGGGATTCGAACTCCCAACCTCTTAGTCCTACTCCAAAGGGCAGTTATAATAGATGTACAGATACATACATGTATTTGTATTCTAGTCTTGTTATGCTCTGTATGACTTAATTGACTCCCATCTTGTCTACAGTACACATGATCTATGGTCCAGCTGACCCTGTCAATCCACCAGTCTTTGCAGACAGATACAGGTGAACTTTACACTGTACTGTTATCCATGATGTTGTTGTACATTTTTATAATGACTGTCACAATCTTAAGATATACATGCATATACAACCAATCACCTATATTTTCTGTGTTACTCAAGCCTAGGTGATTCTATGCTTCTTTTTTTGTATTATATTCAGTTACTAAGTCATTAATGGCAAAATGAAAAGGAAATGAACCATTTTTTATTTTCATTTTCAATTCTCATTTCTGAAATTGAAGGGGTAACCTATATGTAAGATTCAATCTTACAATGATAAAATTGCAGAAACCTTAGCATGTCCTTATCATTTTGTCCACACGTAACATTTTTTTCTGCCATTTCTTGCTTTTAGAGAGCTGCTTCCCAAAGCGACTATCACCGTACTAGACAAGCACATCGGCCACTACCCACACTGGGAAGACCCCATGGCGGTCCTCATGGCTTACTTTGGTTTTCTGGAGAAGGTTTCTCCCCTTACACAGCCTCAGGCTACAGGAGAAACGTAACAAGAAGAGGAAATCTAATGGCCTCTGCTGTGGAAATGTTTTCAGCACCAAGGACAGGGCAGCAGCTGATATACTGTTAATGAATACATTTACTTTCGCGGTGGGTTTAATCTTGCAGTAGGAGGGAAAATGAGGGTTTCATGTTCTTTGAAGTTTGCTGTTGAAACAATTCTGTTGCACTGTGAAACTATAAAACAGATATTCGTAGTGATGTGATTTCGTGGTAATAGGCCACTGCAACAAAAAGCGAAAATAAAACTTCAAAAATAAAACTACATGTAGAACAAACGTTTATCCAATTACTCTATCAACAATATTCCATGGAACAAATCATGATGACGTTGTACCAACTTGAAGGTTTTTGTTGGAGCCAAAAATTTTGGAATACATGTATGTAATAGCTAATGTTACAAATCTATATAAAGTTGTTGAAGGGCATTTGAATTGTATATAATTTGTATGGTGACTATTTCATATGGTTTTTATATTTTACTTAAATGAAATAAAGAAATTTATTGTGTTCCCTCAGGGGATGTATTGTTGACCTGTTTCTGTTCACCAATAGCACAGTGTAGCATGTACATGTATTATGTACAAAGGTCATTAACCTTTAGGTCATTGAACCTAGCTGCCAAAGGTCAAACAAACAAAGGGTGAAAGCAGAGAGTTGCTCACTTTGGAGCAGTGGTTGGTTAGCTGAAGTCTTGTACTAGGTTTCCTCTTTACTTCTCAGCTGCATTTGATATTTGGTGTTACAGTCATGGGATTCATAGGGAAGAGGGGTATTTTGATAAGTGTAGTTGTGGGGGTTCTTGTCTGGGCTTACCAGAACTCCCCTCCCCCACCACTCTCACCAAAGCTGAAAAAGTGGAAACAGTCTGGCATGTTCTTTTCATATGGAGAGTTCAAGGTATTCTACCACGGTGAGTAACATTTTACCAACTGTGATCCTGATTATCATATCTGAAAGGCTACTTAATTACAGGTTTGTAGTTTTGAAGTATCTAATTTTGTTCTTGAGATATGTGTGACCATAAGGTCATTCTGCCATGGTATATGACCATAAAGGCATTGACCCCATGCATTGGAGCACTTTTTTGATATTGAAGTTCCACATTTAGTCCTCTTAATATATTGACTCATGCAAGTAATTGCAGATTATGTATGTTGATTTGTCTTTAAAATGTATGCATCATTATTTTGTAAGAAAATCATCAAAGTTATGGTTTATTTTGTGCTACAGATGAGGCTGGACAGGGAGGATCTGGTGAAGTTGTTCTCTGCATCCATGGGTTTCCTTCTTCCAGCCATGACTGGGAAAAGGTGTGTTAATTATGGACAGATATTCTTACCAACTGCATAGTATTACATACATTGTACATGACCATGGTTAGCTTTGAAATTATACAGTATCTGTATTCAGTATAGCCAGTAAAACCGGCCGTATATCCGCAATACACCAGCTTCGCAGGCACGCGATGCGGCATCAGCTAGCTATATTACACCAAACGACCTCTTACACCTAATCTTTGCACATCTAAGTGCAGGAGTTGTTTGCTATGCTGCTGGACTATAATCAAAGCTTTCTAGTGATGATGCCCCAACTGTGTTCGGTGAAGAGGGGAGCATCAGAGAGCCTTGATCAATGTAAGGTTATGTAATGTTACTACACCACTTGTCCTATGGAAAAGTCTTTTTCAGAAGCATGGACAATTGAAATGGCAGTAACTGTTGAAATATCAATAATTAAAGCATCAGCAGTTCAAATTTAAAAGACACTTCTTTCTGTTTTTGCTACAGGTGTGGGGAGGACTGCAGGGAAGATTTGGCCGCATCATCGCCTCAGATTTACTGGGCTTTGGATTCAGTGACAAACCAGTAAGTACAAAACACTTAATCTACAAAACATGGACAAGACTCACTCTACAAACTATTGTCTCACAAAAGACACCACATCATATTTTGTCTGAGCCAGACCTCTTCCCTCATGACTTCAATAAAAAGTGGGTAGCTGGCTAATTTGAATTTTCATGAATAAGTAAAGGCTCAAAGTAACTAACAAACAAACAATCCATGTTACCAAAATAGAGGCTGATTTGGTATTTTTGACTCCAGTAGACTGAGTCACTCTCTCACTCACTATCTGGTTTAGCATATGTTGTTCCCCGACCTCCAAGGGTTGGACGTGCTTGCACAGCAATACTGTGGCTTAATTGCTTGATGGCAGCGTTTCACTTGCCTCTATCCTTTGGTTTAACATACCGGGTATGTAGGTTCAGGTTTAGGAAGTCCTCCCTTACATTTTCCATTCCTTTCTAGGCCATTTGTCACTGCCCATTTTTGGAGGTGGCCATACCATCTTAGCCGGTTAGATCTAACTAATATGGTATACTTCATATTCCAGTTAGACCACAACTACAGCATCTTTGAGCAGGCCTCCATCCTGGAGAGGTTACTTGAGACGTTGGAAGTTAAGGAGGTGCACGTCTTGTCACACGACTACGGAGACACCGTAGCCCTGGAGCTCCTCAGGAGGTTTCTTGACCGCCAAAAGTCGCCTGAGAAAGACGCCGCTCACCTGCAGATCAGGAGCGTCTGTCTGATGAATGGAGGTGAGAACTGCCAGCTGTCTGGCCCCCATAGCATGACCAAAACTGGGGGTCTTCAGGGTCTTCAGCAGCCTTTATGTGCTATTTTCTGATTGCATATAGACAACATAGCCGGCCTGGTTGAATTACCCCCGTTTTTTGAGCCAATCAGAAAACAGCCGAAGACCACCAAACCCCCAGTTCTATAAGCCTTCTACAGAGTCTAACCAGCTGTGGTAGGAAGTTATTCATTTAAAATGTGATTTGGAAAAACATAACTATATTATAGTTCTGCTAGGTCACAAATATCTGCCACCCAGAAAATATGCATCCAAAAAGACCTCCAACTCAACATACCCTGTAAAATGCACTCCAGGACCTGCATAATTAACCTATCTGGGAGGGTGCTGGACTAGAGATTTCTCAGACACACTGTTTATCAAAGTAGTGGATATGTATTGTATGTAACCCAGTGGATATATGACAGAAGAAGAAGAACTTTATTGCGCAACAGATGTAGCAGGTACAACGTATGGCAAAATGATACATACATAGTTTGTGGTGTTAAAATACACATATGGTGGTGTTGAGAATATCTAACAGTTCTACTAACTGTAATAGGAATCTGGTCTGCTTCATGAAGGTTAGTTGATTTCTGGTAGCCATGCAAAACTGATACTTGGGGTTTGTTTTTTTGCTCACATTTTTATGTACAGATTATGTATTTAAACATGTGACATGCAGATAGACATATCCACATTATAATTCATTCAGAGACCAGGAGACAAGATTGGATTGAGATTTTTAAATTAATGTTTTGTTTCAGGTTTTCTTCCTGAGACCATCACCTTTCAGTGGGGCCAATATGTATGTATTTTGTAATCCTTATTTCTACTCAGCATTCAATTTGATCTGTTAGCTCTATTGTGTTTTTTATTGGGTCTTAGAAAGAACAAAGCAAAGCATCATTTTGAAGGGGTCTAACATAATAACAACAACACATTTTATCTAGCTACTTGTGCATAGAAATTTTCAATCTATTCTTTGTGTATTTTGATTCTGCAGAATTACTTATTTTGGGGAAATGCATTCAATTTCAGCTTCTCACAACTTCACTGGGACCCTACTTATCCAGATTGGGCAACTTCTACACTTTTAGAGGAGGGTTAGTACAGTAGCTCATACATTGTGGCTCAGCAAATGATATAGACAAAGTCTCACAAATAACTGTAAAACACAAAAATGATTGTTGTCATTGTAAAAGGCAATGCGGTCATGTGATGGTCATATATAACTTTTAATGAGTACAAAAAAGGTATACTAAATATATCAAAGAAATTTAGACCTCATAACCAGTAGTATAACTTATACATTCATTCATCCATGTGAATGTATGGTAGCTCATTTGTGACATTTGTATCCACTTGTATGAATGTAAGTCCAATTATATCCATTTGTTTGTCTGTAGGTATAGTTTTAGAAGGCCTTTTGAAAGTTGATGTGGATCTTTTTTTTGTACTGTCAATGAAGAGATTTTTGTTACTGTTAGTGTCGGCAAGGTGTACGGTCCCAACACCAAACCTTCTCCTGATGAGGTCAACGATCTCTGGGCACTGATGAGATGGAATGATGGCAACCTGGCACTAGGAAGGTCTGTTTGTTTGTTTGTTTGTTTGTTGGAGCCTTTGTTTATAAGGTAATTATAAGATAAGGTCCACTTTCCACTAGACAGCAACTGCTAAGTGACCATTGAGCAAATAAAATTGGAGTTGCATGACACACCCTTCAATACTTTACTAAGTACTGTACACATATTGTCTCTTTTATTATGTTTACCGAAGGAAAACATATTGTTTTTGCTCCATTTCTTCTTCTCCAAACACTAACCTCTGACCTGGCCAATGGCCTCTTTTGTTTACGTCTGTCACCATAGTAACTGGTGTCGGGTTACAGAATGTGACACACACACACACACACACATACACACACACACACACACACACACACAATGTGGCAATTTCATTGTAGGCATTTAGACTCCTGTCACCATATACATGTATGTGAATCACAGTGAATGTGTTTGAGTAAGAATTAACAGAGCAGACCATATCCGAAGGTAAACATTATGCATTTGCTTTGCAAATGTTACTTTTCTAGTTGATACTTATACTTGTATTTTGTATGGCTCCTCTGTAGGATCAGCCAGTACCAGAATGAGAGAGTTGCACATAGAGAGAGGTGGGTGGAGGCAGTGCAACAGTCCACAATACCAGGTCAGTACAGCATACTTACATGTGAACCCATGCTGCATACATGTAGAATACATGAAATGTAGCATTAATCCCTTCAATGTAGAAAACAATGAGCCATTACTTTGGTTAACTTTAGCCTGGGTGCCATCTGGATTTTCGCTCCGCAACGCTCGAAAAAATCTTTTTTTGAGCGTTGCGGAGCGAAAATCCGGATGGTACCCAGGCTAGGTTAACTTAACCTTCTCCCTGCTACCTAACCCCCTACCCAATACAGATTTGGCACCAAACAGCTACCTTAGCAGCCTGCGTTACACGAGAAATATCCCTAAATCGTATACGTACATGTACATAATTATACAGGGTGCTATATAGATGGTACAGTATGTACAACCCATGTATATATGGTCCAAGGACAAGGTTTAACCTTCTCCCTGCTACCTAACCCTCTACCCAATACAAATTTGGTGCCCAACAGCTACATTTGTACCTTAGCAGGCTGAAGGTTAACAATACTTTATTTCTTTCCAGTGCACCTGATCTATGGTCCAGCTGACCCCGTCAACACTCCTGTCCTTCTGGACAGATACAGGTCAGTACCCAGACCTATGTCTGCAGAAAACTCATACATGTATGATGATGATGACTGGTTTATTTACATAAACACATAAACAAACAGGTTAAAAGTCTGTGGCAGCCAAAATGGCTAAATTGACGACTTCTTACAATCTAAAATCAATGCAGCCTTACAAATACGATTTCAACAGTACTATAAAAAGCAGTCGGCCCGTACAACATCCGGTAATCCCGTATCTTCCTAGCCTGGGTGCCATCCTCCATAGTTTCCGCCAGCTCCCTAATGTCGCTAGTCAGCAACATTAGGGAGCCGGCGGAAACTACAGAGGATGGCACCCAGGCTTAGCCTAGTATCTTCCAAATGTTCTGCCAAATAGTTACCCTGGGTGCCAGGCTCAGGCTCAACTCCCCTGCTGTAGTGGCAATTTAGATAGATGGACGTAGTGTTCTTGGCTACTGAAGGAAACTAGCTAATGACCCAATACTAGTACTGGCACCAAGATTGTCAAATAGTAGCTAAATGTATTGAAAAGAATGCAGTCTTTATCTGTTAGGCGTCTATGTTAAACATTGACTTGCAACAGGTGAAAAGTATTTTATAAAAGCTGTATTTTTCATTTTTTTTTTTTACACATATCTGTACCTGCTGTAGAACAGGCCAGGTTGGTCTAGCTTATTACACAAAGCAACTCTCAATTTTGTCTTCAATTTATTTGCATATCAATCAATAGTTTGTGCTTATAAACCTGCATTTCCCCTCTGGTCTCTCAGTCACTGACGAAAGCTAGTGGATACTAGCTGAAACATCTGACCATTTCCAAAATCATATCCAGTTGCTTGAGTAACTGCTTTTTGTTGTAAAGAAAATCTCACATTGCAACAGGTTGATCATGAATCGAGGTCATCTGGATCCATGTTGGGTTGTGCACTGGCTTCATGTTATAAAACCATCTGTGATATAACCTCTTTAGTAACTACTTGCAGGAAGTCGTGAATACTATTCCTGGTTGAAATCAGATTAATACTATTATAATATGGTAACTATATCTGTACCCCATTACTTTTTGCTATTTATATCACAATGATCATGGTTATGGTGCTCATGAATATATATGCATGTTAAGGCTTGGACTTCATTTCTTTGCTTTTTGGCAAACACTTGGTCCATAGCAACATAAACACAGACTTACGACAAAAATAGATCACTTGCAATAACGCCGTGCCGTCAGAACTATCCTTGGCAAAAACTACACTAACTATGCTGACGCCTGTCTCCTACTTGGCCTCGAGACTTTGGAGCGACGACGAGACCACCTCTGCTTGACTTTTGCCAGAAAACTCTTACAATCTCCCGACTACCGGCATTGGTTCCCTCCCCGCCGTGGGGACATCAGTGGACGTACAACACGGTCCAGTAACCAGATTGACTGTTTTAGAACAAGAACCGAACGCTTTAGAAACAGCGCACTACCATACATGGTTAAGTTACTGAATAACTCTGAAACGGCAATGTAAGAGTAATCTGTTGCTAATGTTGTACAACAGCCTCTCACCGAACCTTTTTTACTGTGTAACGTTTTAAACATGTATATCGATTATCAATCCATTTTCTATAGTAGAGGAATATTTTACGATTTATAAATTTTAACAATATTTAATAATATGTAATAATGTTTTGATAATAATACCCATATTTTAATGATATTTTGTGACCTCAGAGCAATTCAGGCAGCCAGTATGGCTGCCTGCGAGTCTGTTGTCAGTGTGGTGGTAATTGAAATGGTGTATGTCTGGAGTTTGCAATTTTGAAATAAACCATTCTACTACTACTAACCACGAAATGAACAATTGCAGCCTAATTACTATGTTAGAAATAGGTCAGTCTTATAAATAAATCTCAGTAAATGTCATTTTCCGTCTATTTCTAGAGAGCTGTTTCCCCGGGCAACAGACACTGTTCTCAGCAGCGGCATCGGACACTATCCACACGTGGAGGATCCCCAGTCTGTTCTCACAGCCTTTTTCAACTTTCTTGATCATGTCGCCAGCACAAAGCAGTCTTCAACTGCAGGGAAAACGTAGCTGTAACACAAACTCAAATCCAAACTTTGGTAAAATCAACATGGCATCCGTGTACAAAGGTTGTTCAAAAAGTTCTCGGCCTCACCTGGAAAAAAGAGGTGGTATAACTGTAACATTATACTATGACATGTTACGCCACATTCACGGAAATGCAAATTTTGATATTCATTGATTAGCATGTGGCGCCCTATTATTTACATTATGATTAAAATTTGTAAGATTTAGATTTAGATTTGTAAGACAGGGTATACAGTATGGGCAATTAATCGAGATTTTGTAAGTCTTTCATGGCTCTCATAGCAAATGTCTGACAGTTCAGCTGTGTGGAAAGATGTAAGTATTCAGGTTTCCTGTGCCTAAGGTTAGTACCACGCACTACTACAACATTAACACCCACTACCTATGTCACATCCGCACAGACCTTTACACAAACCATTGATCCTGGCAATAATTCCTGCGGCTGGTCTGATTTCATTTTGGCCATACACGCAAAACTTCAGTGTCTTTGTGGCTACATTTCATTAAAGAACGGCAATTCTTTTGAGGCAGTACTATGCGTAGGACACACCTCTTGTTACGCCAACGCCAACAGGAAGTGAGATTTTCTTTTACCGGAAACTTGATTTGCACGCTGCCATAAAACATTATACAATCTACAGATCTTCTGAAAGTAGTCTCATCAGGTTGGTAGGACATAGGAAATTGGGAATTTCCTTCTTACACAACCAGTAATACATTTGTATCTCTTACTTTGCTTACGTTTTGATGTCTATCAGACACCTTCCACCTTCCCATACTATAGAATGATGACAAAAGGATAAAAGTAACAGTAGTAGTGTGGGGTCGTGTGGCGTAAACCAGAGGCCCCGGGTTCGAGTCCTGACATGCCACCGATCTTGTGCCCTTGGGAAAGGCACTTTACACAACTTTCCTCACTTTGCTCAGGTGTAAATGAGTATTGTACTGTCACTGTGTTGGTGGCGGCATTAATATAAGTTGAAAAAACTTGAGTGTGCCGTCACCACGTCTTGTAATTGCATGTTTCGGAATATAATAAAAAAAAAAGTAGTCTTTCCACAGGGATAAGTGTTACACAATGTTCTTGCAATTGATAATGATAATGGGGTGGCCGGATAGCATCCATGTGATTAAGTCAATGTGATCTTAAGTACAAGCTGGACAGTACTCGACTTGGAGCGTTGATTCACTCACACGGGCATGGACCCCCACTCATATCGATAGATATTTGAAGAGTCTTCTCTAGCTAACCCTTCAAATGCCGGACCTTCGCTTTCCGTCCCTTCCCAAAGGACGTCCTTAGTGGACTTTATAGGTACTCTGTAGTGGACTCTGTAGTGGAGTGGAGCGAGGAAAGTCGTGTTAAATGCCTCCACCCATGGCCAATAGCCTCTTGGAGTTTTTATGTGTAGTGAGGACACACAATGTGTAGAAGACATAGACTCGATTCGTAAAAGCTTTACGCCATAGTTACTGTCCATGGTGCTGAACACCGTACAGTTAAACACTCCCGTAATTGCCGCTTTGGATGTATCGTCAGAAAAGGCTTTCTGCCTTCTGAGAATAATCAGTCTGTAAAGTAACGTGTATTTTAATCAACATGTGACACAATTTGTACAATGTTTTGTTAAAGTTGTGAAATTCAGCCCCAGGGATGCAAACATGCTTGTATCCCTGTTTTGTGAAATAAACCAGTCTACTACTACTACAACTACTACTACTACTATCTACTATCTACTACTACTACTACTACTACTACTACTACTACTACTACTACTACTACTACTACTACTACTACTACTTGTGGGATCTTGTGATGAGCAAGCAAAACGAGAGAATTGGCTGTAACAACGTAGGATGGCACGTAGGCTAGCTAGGCTACCATAGAAGAGCGCTCAAAGTGCCTTTGTGAGCAACAATCGTGGATAATTAGACAATGACGTAAGCAGCGGGTGGCCTACGAGAAAGTGTGAACAATCGGAACTATGCGTTGGTGAAGGTCAGACATCCAGGTAATAAGATACGCCAAAAAACGCCTTTTTGACAAGTTTACAGCGTCACTGACGAAAGGTAGCGGATGCTACCTGAAAAACCGTTTCCAAAACTATATCTAGTTGCTTGAGTACATTTTTTGGCGAATCGGAACTATACGATAGTATACAACCAGAAAAAAACCTTAAGACATTCTAAGCCCAGAAGTAAGCCCAAAACGTAGAGCCTTGCTAAGAAGGTTACAGTTGTCTCTCGCCATCTCCACATCTTGAGTAAATAGTCGCTCGATGTTCTGGACTCCTTCTCTTCATTTTTTGTGGTTAGATAACGTAATGTAGTATACCATGGACACGCGTCTCAGTCCCGTGGCTACCGTTTAATCGGGTTACATTACTTCTGTGATGTGACAAACCATCCGTCGATCCGGCCTCTTTGTCGCCTGAGTGTCAGCCTTGTTAGCTTTCGTCCGCTCCCCAATATCCGCTTGTTGGCGGGGAGCGGATCACTCAGGCTAGCCTCTTTGCGTCACGACAGCAATTATTTATAATGAGCGGCAGAGATCTCAAATTCAATTGTCGTGGCGCTGGGCGTTCGCGCGTGCATCGTGAATTACATTTGTATTTTGTTAGATGTACAAAGTCCATTTGCTGGAGGCGGCAGGAAGAGCCAACTGTTGTATAGGGCAAGGACGTTTGGTTGCTGTTTCTTCTGAGTGAACTGACATTTGGGGGATAACTTTATAAACTAAAAAAACTCGTATTTTCCAAGAACTAGTGTAGAGGGGAACTCGTTGCCACCAAGCACAGTTCTCATTTTACCCGGTTCCTTGCAAAAACACATTGCGAGGCTTAAAAAGCCGAATCTGTGGGGTCTAAAGAGGTTACCTCTACCTACTAGCCAGCTGTGCTTGCATGTACGTACTTGGAAAAAAAGGTCCGCCGATTGAGGTCTGAAACAAAATGCAGTTAGCAACCTCGTCACTGGTGACGTCACAGGTGATGAGCTTCTTTGGTAGCGACAGGCGTAAATTGTATTCCATTCATCTTTTTATTTATAAATATGATGTTTGTGTAGAAAAGCCACTTCAGGATAAGACAACAGTCTGTGGTGATTACGTGAACGATACGGGTACGTCGGTGAAAGTTAGACATCCAGGCAATGAGATACGCAAAAAAAAAACGGTTATACTCAAGCAACTGGATATGATATTGGAAACGGTCAGACGTTTCAGGTAGCATCCACTACCTTTCGTCAGTGACGCTAAGATCTTGTGCAGAAAGGCAGATTTAAAGCAATGCGAAAGGTAATGGATGCTAACCTGACTTCTGTGACCGCACCCTAACTGTTTCTTGGTGGACTTTTCAGTCGGTTCAATGACCTAGGAATATTTGTGCTAGATTTCTTAAAAGGGTTACGCAAAAGTAACGAGAGAAGTTCTTCCTATGACCCTTTGTAGTACTAGAAGTTAGCTCAAAAGTAACGAGAGACGTTCCTTCTATACGGCCTTATATAGTAATTAGCTGCAGCTAGCGTTTGTAAATTCAAGTTAACGAGATGACGTGTTCTCTTTTCTCTGTCGCAAGTGATATCGTGCACGAATCTTTGAAACACCCTTTCCGTTCATCGAAATCTTTTGGAAGCGTAAAATCAATTATGAAGCGCGTCCGCCCCGGCATTTTCCCATGATACTCTCTGCTTTAGCCGTCCTTTTCGTCACTACCCTTCGCGGACACGGCGCAGTTTTTACTGTCAAGACGTAGCTAACGGCCGCTTTTAGCATAATTTCCTCAATCGCAGAGATATTTTTCTTTCCGTACCTCGTAGGTGAAAGAATGGGTATTGTATGGAAGGCCTTTCTAGTGATTCTCGTGGCCTGGCTCTTGGTTGACGACGAAGTGCTCTCCTCGGGAGGAGCGGTGAGAAGCCGCTCGCGAGGGAAGGGCCCACCGCCGGCCGGGCTGGCTCGGGCCTACAGCCGGGTGCCGCTGTTCAGTCGGTACGGACGCGGCGGCAGGCTGCTGTCTTCGGCGAGCGGGGGTCTGCCCGAGACGGAGGCAAGCGGAGGCGCGGTGGCGGCGGATCTCGAGAGGGACGGGTGGCTGAGGTGGGCCGCGGCGGTGGATGAGGTTTTGTCCAAGCTGCAGGAGTCGGGCCAGGCGTCCGGCGCTCCGGAAGGCGACACGCCGTCCCTCCACCGCGGCTTTGGGCTCAGCGGCCATGGGGTAAGTTACTCCGCTAGTTCTTTTTCATTTAGTAAGTTAATACTTAAAGACCAAATGACACCAAAAAAGTGGCACAGCACATACAAATGTCGGTAGTGTACATAAAATATAGTCACTTGATGATTGTTTCAATCATGATGACTGAGATATTGAGCTTGTACGGCCTTCTAAAAGTTAATTTTTAGAGACTCTCTAGTAAGCTTCCCAATTGCCCACTTCGGGCATCTCTATTTGCATCTTTATATGAGCACTTTAATTAAAGCATGATGCACCTACGATTCTCCCGCAACGATTGTGCCGAATGCCGAAGGTTTGAGACGAGAAGGACGCCAAAGTTAAACTAATGAACAGTAAAACTAATGAACCTAGCTAATCTCCAAGCATATCTTTTGGTGGCTGCAAAGACAGAATCAAATTGGCCAGGCTGTGTCAATTGGCTTCGGACTCGGCAGCCATGCATGGTGTAAGTCGACTCCGCTAGTTTTTGTACCTTTTGTTAAGTGATATTCCTGGTGTAGCCTCCGGTCACACCGACACCGTACGGTGCACCTACTACGACGATATTTTTTTTACCGCGACGACCATGCCGTATGCCGTAGATTTTAGACGAAAGTTTGATGATTTAACTATTGAGCCTTTCTCAAACCTATAGCTACGATCTATGGCGATATATCGTCGCGGAAAAACAACAACGATCGCAGGTGCTTCATTTGATGTGTGTGGTCGAACCCTTTCATAGCAAACATATGGCCTGCACTTGCCTTGCCT